GTCATAGGCCATCCCCGTACTTATGAAATGAAAGGTTTTCTGTCTCTAAGAGGAGCCTCAGAATAACCACATCCTAACGAGGGTTCCCAGAAATGATTGAAATTCAAAATGTACTTCAAATTTGCATTATGTTCCCCAATGCAGGAAGTTAGGACGAACTATAGTGCAGCTTCCCACTGTGGCCTTGGATAATTCTGTCTGGCTACAGACCTCGGAGGGATCTCATGTGTGTGTGCTAGGTTGCTTCAGTTGTGTCCGACTCTGCGACCCAATAGATTGTAGCCCGCGAGGCTCCTGTTTCCATGGGATTCTCCAGGCAAGAATAGTGGAGTGGGTTGCCATTTCCTCTTCCAGGGGATCTTCTCAACCAGGGATCAAACCTGCATCTCTTGCAGCTCTTTCATTGCAGGTGGATTCTTTACCACAAGTGCCACCTGGGAAGCCCCAGAAGGGTTGAGTCCTGTCTTTATTTTCAGAAGAGACTGAACTTTGCCTCCAGTAGCAAGCAGAGGTATCACAGTCATGGTGCCCAGACTGAAAGAGGGCTGTGAGGTGCTGGCACCTGTGGTGGGCAGCTCTTGCCAGGGGCCTTGGTGGTGGCAGAAAGAGTGATTCTCAGCCAGCAATCTTCTTCAGACACTGTGTTCAACCTCCATCTACAGAGCCAGGCCTCTTGTGGGGACTCTCATTTATAAGACGCAGTCAAACATCCTTGGAGATGTAAGGCTGTGGGAAAAGCATATTTCCAGCTTCCTTCCTGTGAGCTGAGTCAGTGGATGGAAGGAGCGAGTGGCTAGGGGTGGAGAGTAGTGGCTGGACTGGGGTGACACCTCTGGTGGAGAACCACAGATGCTCGATCTGCCTTCTAGGAGGTATGTTTCCTGCACTCAGGTGTGAGATGTGCAGGTTTGGAACACAGTTGAATTTCTCAGGATTGAGAAACAGTCAAAGCTGAATTCCAGTGCCCCCCACCCCCCCACAAAGGTCAGGGATCGATGTCAGACAAGCCAGGCAAGGGTTGTATTGGGACTGCAGTTCAAGTAAATGCTCCTCTTGAGCAAGGGGGCAGATGTTTAAAGTACCCTAACTTTGCTGGATGTGCTCACTCAGCCGTGCAGGTAGGTGGGAGAGGGTGGGGGGAATTATGTGGATCCTGATCCGAAACAGCTTCATCTTCCTGTGTTTTTCTTGGCTAGGCAAGAAATAGCAGACACAGTTTGTTTTAGGTTTTTGCTAATGCTTGCATCACATTGGGCCAATCTGGAGGGCAGTGTCACCTGGCAGGAAGCACCTTCCGGTGATGTAGGCAGGCACGGTGCCCGGCAGCGCTCAGCGTGCCTTCCTCGCCTCAGGAGTCTAGGCCGTGCCGTGCTGACGGCCTCCGCACTGCGACATACACTTTAGTTAGAACAGCCGCAAGTGACAGGCCTCATATCATGTGGGAGAACATCTCTCTCATTGTGCGGGAGGTTCCAGGGTTAAAATGTTGCTGCTTCACAGAGAGGAGCAAAGGCAAGCCTCCCAGCCCAGCCCTGTTGTGAGAGGGTCAGTGAAGAAGGCGCAGAGAGGCCGGTATGACTGGGGGGCGTGCGTGGGGGCAGTGGCGGGGTGAGGCCCGAGAGGCAGTGGGAAGGCCAGGCGTCCCAATGAGCCTGTGGGCCACGGGGCCTGAGTGAGAGGAGAGACGCTGCGGGCCGGGGCAGCGAGGGTGTCTGTGGAGGGTCTCCCTGGCTGATGTGGGAAGACTGAGGTTGGAACAAAGATGGAAGCGAGGAAGGCAGGTGGGAGGCCAGGCGTCCCAATGAGCCTGTGGGCCACGGGGCCTGAGTGAGAGGAGAGACGCTGCGGGCCGGGGCAGCGAGGGTGTCTGTGGAGGGTCTCCCTGGCTGATGTGGGAAGACTGAGGTTGGAACAAAGATGGAAGCGAGGAAGGCAGGTGGGAGGCCAGGCGTCCCAATGAGCCTGTGGGCCACGGGGCCTGAGTGAGAGGAGAGACGCTGCGGGCCGGGGCAGCGAGGGTGTCTGTGGAGGGTCTCCCTGGCTGATGTGGGAAGACTGAGGTTGGAACAAAGATGGAAGCGAGGAAGGCAGGTGGGAGGCCAGGCGTCCCAATGAGCCTGTGGGCCACGGGGCCTGAGTGAGAGGAGAGACGCTGCGGGCCGGGGCAGCGAGGGTGTCTGTGGAGGGTCTCCCTGGCTGATGTGGGAAGACTGAGGTTGGAACAAAGATGGAAGCGAGGAAGGCAGGTGGGAGGCCAGGCGTCCCAATGAGCCTGTGGGCCACGGGGCCTGAGTGAGAGGAGAGACGCTGCGGGCCGGGGCAGCGAGGGTGTCTGTGGAGGGTCTCCCTGGCTGATGTGGGAAGACTGAGGTTGGAACAAGATGGAAGCGAGGAAGGCAGGTGGGAGGCTTTTGCAGTAGTTCATGCAGGGAGTTCCCTGGCAATCCAGTGGTTGAGACTCTGCGTTTCCACTGCAGGGGGCATGGGTTCAGTCCCTGGTCAGGGAACTCAGATCTCACATGCTGCAGGGTTTACCCCCACTTTTTTTAAAAATACAAATAAAAAAATAGTTCAAGCAAACGACGATGGAGGCTTGAACCGGGGTCATAGCGGATGACGGAGTGAGAAGTTGATCTCGGAGAGACAGCAGTGAGTGGTCTTGAAGCAGGATCTTAGTTCCCCTTGGTTCCTGGAACCTGAGTATCCTGGACGAAAGCCAGGAGTCCTACCTGCTACTCCACCAGGGACTAGAGACAGAAGCAAAGCCCACCTGGCTCTGGCCTCTGAAAGTGAGAATGATTTAAGGAGATAAAAACTGCAGAAAACGGGTAAAAAGCTTATTTTCAGAGACACAGCACCACATTGTGGGAGAGCACACACAGACACTGTGTGTTTAGACAGAAACAAAACGGGAACACCCACCCAGAGAGAAAGGGTCCCCTGTGATGAGGAGGGAGTTAAACCATGTATGTGGGGCAGCTCTTCTGGCTCTTTGTTCTCCTCTGGCCAGTTATCTTGTTTCTTTTCCCACACCTGCCCGGCCCTTGGGCCTTCTTCATATGCGTCTTCTTGCCAAGATGGATTCCAGTGCAAAGGAGTATGACATTTACTATGGAGTGATGCCCACCTTTTCTGACCCCCAAGGAGCCTTCCTGCTGGTGTGGAGTTGGGGAGGTTTCCTTTACCTCAGGAGTGATAGATACGGTCATTTTCTCTGTTTGCTCCCTCAGAGCTCAGTTCCCACCTCTAACTCTGTCCTTGGGTTGTCAGGGAAAACAAAGCTCCAATCTACTCTGCTTGACAAACTCCAGCTGCTCAGCCCAGAGACCCATCTGTCTCCTGGTCAAACTTGTGTGAACGGAGAGAGATTTTAAAGGTGGAGCAGACAGGATTGGATGAAGGGCGTCAGTAGAGGAGACAAGGAAACGCCCGGGGTTTTGGTCTGATCCCCCGAAGCCTGGCGGATGAGGCCTGTGTGGAGGAGGGGCATGCACCGAGTTTCAGATGCTGTCAGCCGAGACGTGGGAAGCTCCGGGTTCGAGCCTCAGCCTGGGCTCTGTTCCTGAACGTTCTCGGCTGATGGGTCCTCCCTGAGTGACATGAGAAAAGCCTTTGGCAGTATTCACACTCGGCAGCCTGGTGGCCCCCTGGGAGCGGACCGAAAAGTTTCCCCAGGTAGAATTCATTGATTCCTAAGGCTAACTGGTGCAGCAGTGGGGAAGGGTGCTAGGTGTGCAGACGACACCCCCTCCCCAGAGTGGTCGGAGAGCTGCGAGAGCCTGCAGGCAGGTGCCGCGCCCACCGCTCTGCTCCCTCCAGCTGGAACCCCCGAGACATTCATGCTCCCACTGCCCCCGGACACGTTGGCGACGTGGCTTCCGGCCGGGACTGGCCAGTGGCGCCTGTGTGAGAGGCTGGGCCCCGGCACTGCCCTCTGGCGTTTTGCGCCCACGTTGCCCACAGGCCCAGAGAGCAGCAGTGCCCCCTCCCGGCCCCTCCACCCCCACCCCCATGACAGCTGTTTTGGGAGCACGGAAGCCCAGGGTGCTTGCCTTCACGGGGGTCGAGGGGTCAGTGGAGGTTGGGCTGGCACAGCAGACCCCTGCCCACTGGGTCTCCCCACTCCCCCTCCCCTTCTCCCCCTTCCCTGACTCCTCCCCCTGCCCCCTGCCCCCACTCCAGGGGGGCTCCTGGTGTCCTCAGTCACTCACTTGCGCAGCGATCTTCATGGAAGACCCTGTTTCCGGGGAAATGGACCTAAGATCTAAGAAAATACTTTATCCCCACGTTTCCCACAAGGAGCACTGGAGCACACCAGGGGCTGATTGGAACCCCCAGGGGTGCCCTGGGATATTTTAAAATCTCAGGGAAAACAGTGATGACACACACCATCTGTCAGACACGGTGTAGACTACACTGGGTGATTACAGTTTCCACGTTAGGTTACTGCCTTCCCTTCGATGCTGCTTATTCTTCTGTAGCTGAGTCTTCAGTGGTCACTGCTGTCAAAAGCAAGTGCCCTGGGGAGTCAGGTGGAGAAGGAAATGGAGGTGGTGTTGGATCCCATTCCAAGACTGCAGAAGTTGTTTAGTGTCCACACTCCATTAGTTAGTAAATGTGATTAAGAATAAAATAAAAATAATTTTCTTCTAGTGTATTTGTATTATCTTTTTTTTAAACTGGATGCCAAGTTATCAGTGTATCAAGCCTTTTGAAGTTGAACCTGTTAGCTATTTCTTGGGATCAAGGGCTGCACTTTCTTGGGACAGTCAGGGCCGGTGAACCAAATAATTTGGGGGCCTCAACTTTGTAATGACAGTGTTTTCCATTAAAATTGGTTAAGTGTCAAATGACAGTCCCCGCTGCAGACTGTTTGAGACCAATGAATGCTCTTCCTGTAGCTGTTTTCTGTTGTCCTTCCTAGTGCTGCTCTGTTCATGAACTGTCAGGTTCACTGGTTTTAAACGTGAACAAACATGTTCTCTCTTGTTTTCTTTCAGAGAGTGGGTTGATCGCGCTCCATCTCTTCATTTTCTGAGAGTGTTAATTTGTCTGAGACTCCTAATGAGGGATCCATGTTATCAGGTTGGTTGCAAAAAATAAAAAATATTTTTTACTAGTTTGCAGATGAAATAAAAACCGGTGGGCTCTTTTCTGAAGCACAGCATGGTAACTTTTTTTTTCTTCTCTTCACTACTCAGTAGCTTCCACATTTTGGATGTATCTTACCTGCTATTGAAATCGGTAGCAGAGAAGTCATTTAATGGGGACAGAAATATCTCTATATTTCTACTCTGTTACCTGTGGGATGCAGTGGACTGACATCTGGTCTGTGTTTGCATCATCTCTTGGCATTTTAAACCACAGGCAGCTTGGAGGAGGGTACACTGGGCCATACTTGGAGCATGTTGATGCCAAGCGGCCCACCAGGTCAAAGTGAGCAGGGACAAGTGGGACTTCCTTAGGGGGCTCCAGGGCCGACAGGGGGAGTGGCCGGGCCTACACTCTGGTAGCTGCCCCAGAGCCATGCACTCCCCAGAGTCCAGCCTCAGAGCCCGAGTTAGAGGTGAGCACGGGGTTCCCACTTGTCTCAGAGGAGGTGTCTGCTGGTGGGAGTCTCCCCTCCTCTCAGTCAGTCAACCATTCTGTCTCTGCGTTAGTACCTCTCAGACTTTTAAGTGCAGGGGAGTCACCTGGGGCTCTTTTAAGTGCAGATGTGGATTCCATAGGTATACACTGAGGCCCGAGATTTCACTGAGGCCACCGGTCCATGGCCAGCACTTTGAGTAGCAAGCACTGAGTGCTTTAGCAGAGAGGCTCTGAAGAAAGGCTTACCTGACACCACCTGGTTCGTGAAAGTTGTTCCTTCCAGACCCAGCTGCTAAGATTCCTGCTTCTATAAAGCAAAGTTTGTAAACTTTCCGTATATCAGAAGCACTTGGAAGACTTAATGATTGCTGGCACCTGAAAGTGAACGTGTTAGTTGCTCAGTCTTATCCGACTCTCTGGGACCCCTGGACTGTAGCCCACCAGGTTCCTCTGCCCATGGGATTCTCCAGGCAAGAATACTGGAGTGGGTTGCCATTTCCTTCTCCAGGGGATCTTCCCGACCATGGATTGAACCCAAGTCTTCTATATTGCAGGCAGATTTTTTACTGTCTGTGCCACCAGGGAAGCTTCTGATTCAGTAAGTTTGGGGAGGGCCTGGAAATCTGCATTTCTAACAAGTTCCCAGGTGTTACTGATGCTACTGGTTGGGGGAACCACTGCCCAACCAGTTTGGAGAAGTCTCCAAATTGCTAATGAGTCATTATTGTTTCTGCTTGTCAGCATTAAATATCTAAAGGGCAGTTCCTACATGCTTCAATCATTTTCACAGATTGCTTTTTTTCCCTAAGAGGTATCTCCTTTTATGCCCCATTCTGATAAGCTACAGGGATGCTTAGACCACTCTGAAGCACATTTATTTTGGATTCAGCTTTACTGATGAGTTTTTATTTGAATCAGGACAGATTTCCTTTCATTACCCTGATAACCATCTTTTCCAAACTTGGCACTTGAAACAATGTGTGCTGCTGCTGGCCAGTGATGAACCTGCTCTGATTTGAGTCTCCTGGGATTCATGGTAGCTTTGATCTTTTCTTTAGAAGAGGTGCTCCCTTCCTCATTGCATACTCTAAGCTGGCTTTGCGTTGTTCTAGTTCATTCAACCAGTTATTTGAATATGTGACATTCCTCAAAAAACTTTCTGTCCTGGTTGCTCACAGTTTTATGGGAATTTTCCTTTTCTCCTGTGACCACCCAGACAGAGCTGTGTGGGTCATGCTGGTGAGGGTGGTGTGTGCTCCACTCTGCCTGGGTTACTGCCCCACCTCCCCCTGGCCCTGGGCTCCTTGTCCCTGAGTCATATTAACGCTCTCCCCTAACCCCCCTGCCATATGCCCCAGAGGCCTCAGCTTGGGTAAGAACAGCTTGTATATGGTATTAATATAAGTTTTCATGGAAGGAGGTGAATTTTTAGCAGGAGGTCTAGTTTTTGGACTTATAGAAGTTAGCAGAATATTTGCCTTAGACATGCTCTTTGCTCAGAGAATTGAGGGCTGTTGTGTCATACTCTGCTGATTTTCATCTAAAGTATTCCCTTTCTTAATCCAGTTCTTGATGGGCTGGAATAAGGTTTATTGGATTGCTCTCTAAAAGAAAGAATTCTGTGACCTCTTTGCTTTGGGGCTTTTATGACAAAAACTTGCATTAAACCAGATCTCCCACTGATTTCCAGCCTTTCCATAGAAGGAGGTGTTCCCTGAATCTCTCCTCCTGGCACCTTGTCCACAAACGAGAGCAGTTGTTTAACATGTTGAGTTGCCAAGAATTTCTGGCCGAAGTCACATAGCCATGCTGGGGTTTACTGTGACCTGTGCCCACAAATGTCAGTGAGCCAGGCCAGGCCTCCCTTTCCTCTCCTGGTGAATCCGTGATCAGTGCTGCATGCTCCACAGTGGCCGCTCCAGACCACGTCCGCTTCTCACACACACTCCTCCTACCCCGGTTGTTCTTATTAGGTTATAGCATTACCTGTTTTACAGGCAAAACTGAGGCCATCCTAGTAGGAATGCTCATATTTTCTTTGTTGCCTGAAATGTTTGGATTATTATGCACCATTGTGCATGCATGCTAAGTCGCTTCAGTCATGTCTGATTCTTTGTGACCCCATGGAGCCCACCAGGCTCCTTTGTCTGTGGGATTCTTCAGGCAAGAATACTGGAGTGGGCTGCCATGCCCTCCTCCAGGGAATCTTCCCGACCCGGGGATCCAACTTCCATCTTTTATGCCTCCTGCATTGACAGCCGATTATGTACCTTTATGTCCCTTACTTCTGAAGAAATACCCTCCTCCTTGCCAAGCCTCAGCCTTCCATCTGTTGTCTTTATTACTGTGTCAGTGGCTCCCTTTCCGTTTTTTCTTATCATAAAAATGCCCTTTTCGGGGCACACTATCCTTTCAAGCCTTGATTTCACCTTCATTACTGCATTTATTGAAAGGTCAGACTATTTATATGGAGCCCACTCCCTTTTCTTTACAGCTGATGTGCAGTAGAGCTTTTCCTTGCATATTGAGCACCAGGGCCTCTCTGGAAGTCATTTAAAAAGACCATCGTGGGCCATGATCCAGTCAGCGTCTCTTGACCCAGAGACTCCAGTATATGCCTAATGAAGGTTCCAGGAAGAAATGAGTGGAAGGGGTGAAAAAGAAGTCATTTTTAAAGACAAAATTGCTTCCTTTTTCATAATTAAAGGACTACATGTGTTCAGAGATTTCAAGTGTAGTTGGAGTTGCAAGCAGGATAAAGTCTACCTAGCCTGCTTACAGTGAGCCGTCAGAGCACATTGCTTACCAACGATAAATAGAAAAACTTAAAACTCCTAAACTGCATTTACATCAGCCACAGCAATAGAGAGAGAGCAGAGTTGTATGACCCAATCACCCTGCCTCGCACCCAGCCTTTCTCCATCAGCCGCAGCAGTAGCACGATAGTGGGTCTGTATGGCCCGATCGCCCTGCCTTAAAAACTCCTAACCTGCATCCCCATCAGCTGCAGCAATAGAGAGATACTGGAGTTGTATGGCCCGTTTGCCCCGCCTCGCACCCCAGCCGCTCTCCAGCAGCCTGCGCCCCTTGCCACGCTGTTTCCCCTCACTGATCCTGAAAACCTCCAGCTCTTCCCCATCACCTTCTGTTTCTCTGTGCTGTTTACTTGCTCCTTTTTAAAATTCTGCCTTCCTAAATGTTGCTGCGGTGCTCAGCTGCTTCGGTTGTGTCCAGCTCTTTGCGGCCCCATGGACTATATAGCCCACCAGGCTCTGTCCATGGGATTATCCAGGCAAGAATACTGGAGTGGGTTGCCATGACCTCCTCCAGGGGAATCTTCCTGACCTGGGGATTGAACCCGCATCGCCTGTGTGTCCTGTATGCAGATTCTTTACCTTGGAGCCACTGGGGAAGCCCTGAAATGTTAACTTTCCCTAAAACTATTTTCTTTGTTATAGTCTCCTGTATCTTCTGAGCTTTTGGCTTCACCAGTCATTTTGTTGCTGTTGTTCTTTGCTCACAAGCACATGTTTCCAGCCTGAGACTTTCCCCCTCATTTAAGTCCCAAATTTCCAGGTATTTGTTGGGATGATATGGTAGCATAATGGTTCTCAGAGTGTGGTCTGGGGACTCTCGCAGGTCTCTGAGACCCATCCAGGGGTCCCATGGGGTCAAAATGGTCTTAAAGGTGATGCTCCAGTGGGATTCATGCTCACTCTCTTAGGATAGGAGCGTGCAGTGGAGCCTTCCAGAGGCTGCAGGGTGTGTGATGGTGGTGTACCCTCACGCCTGATGGAACACATGCTTGTGTGCTTTTGTGTTGTAAAAATTCCTCGCTTTTTATCTCTAATTTGGTAAATATAAAGAGCTTCCCAGGTAATCTGCCTGCCAACATAGGAAGTGAGGATGCTGGTTTGATACTTGGGTTGGGAAGATCCCCTGGAGGAAGAAATGGCAACCCACTCCAGTATTCTTGCCTGGAAAGTTTCATGGATAGAGGAGCCTGGTGGACTACAGTTCATGGGTTTGCAAAGGGTTGGACACAACTGACTGACTGAACACACACATACATGGTAAATATAAATAGATTGACTCACATGAACAGAAGGTCTCTGGGACTCTCAGTAATCTGTAAGTGTATAAAGGAACACAGGGGCCAGAGTGTTGGAGAGCCCACTGCGTACAGTACATGCAGTAACTTCACTCAGGTCTGTCCATCCTGGCGCTCCTGCAACCTGCCGAATTCTACAGGTTCTGTCAGTGGCATCACCTTTCCTCCAGACTCCAAGGCAGGAAACTCTTCCTTTCCCCTTACGAGCCTTTAGAAGAGTGGTTCCTAACACACCTAATGTACTGGTCAGGCCCAGGGGAACCTTCAGTTGTGATAGAGGGATGAGCAGTGTGGACCGCTGACTGCAGAGGGGTGGGTGGCAGGTCAGGACTCGACACTCGGAGCTCAGCTCTCTGCTGACCGCCGACCAGGGACCGAGTGTCCGGGGCCCTGACGCTTGGCCACGGCGACACGATGCTGGACTGACGGCAGTCAGAGTGGTGTTGGTGGGCGTGCTGTAGTTGTATAGTTTTTATCAGTGTTATAGTATTGTGTCAATTTTTAAAAAAGAGATAAACTCTGGGAATAGTGGAGCAAGGACATTTGTCCAGATGGATGGAAACTGTCTCCAGGTCACTAGGCTTGGAAGTCTAGGGCCGGGTCCTGTGAGCTCAGGCCGTGCCGGGGAGGAGCGCAGTTCTGTCTGCTCTTCAGCTCCGGACCCAGGACTGCTGAGCCCAGAGACGTGGCTGCCTTGTGGTCTTGCTCTCCGGTGGCCCCGGTGCTTGTTTGGTAAGTGGTGGGTCACTGCTTGAGGGCATCACAGTGACATTTCCTAGCGGTGGTACAGCCTCGCTCCTTTTCCTGTGTTTTGTAACAGTGCTTCTGACAGCGCTCACAGGACCTCTGTGAAAGGTGGTGTGTCTCTCCCACCATATGCAGGGAAGATGGGCGGCTCCTCCTCCTGGAGACTGTGGTGCACGGCAGCACGTTAAAGCTCAGAAGAGTTTAAATCTATAATCAAATAATTTGTTACACTCTGTTCGACCTACTGTTTGATCATAAAAATATTTATGAACACCTAATACCACTTATTGCACAGAATAAAATCATTATTCACAGCACAGGGTTTGGGAAACATGGAATCAGTTCCATACTGTTAACACTGATGATTGTATAGATATATTTTTGCCAAGATAAACATTTAAGAATGACCATGACAAGTCATTTAAACATGAGTCTCTCCCTGGTGTATTCTCCCTCCCACGCTTCACATTTAAATTTCCTTTATGTCAACAATGCCATATCTCAGTCTTCTGCCCTCGGTGCACTTTTCCCGGCCTATTGTTCTTCCATCACCTGAATATACCACCAGCAGCTCAGCATGTCAGACTCCACCTCCTTGTCTGACCCAGCCTGTGTCCCCTCTTCCCTGGACTTATCCTGTCCTGGCCTCCAGTCACCTCACTGTGCAGACGGTGAAGCCTCTGCTCTGTACTCTTCCTCCCCACTGGCCTCCATGTCCAGCTGGTCAGAGTGCCCACCTGTCCACTCCCTTCTCTCTGCACCTGCCAACCCGCGGGGCTTCCCTCCACGCCCATCCCTCTCCAGTTTCCTCCAAGACCAGAGGGAAGTCCCCACAGCTGAGGCTGATCAGCCCTGTTCACATATGTCCATCAGGCTTGAATGCAAAGTCCAGTTCAGGCTCATGTTCAAGTCTTCTCATAGTTTATCTCACTCTATTTTTCTAACATTATCTCCAATGATTCCCTTCATAAACTTAGGGAGTTGCTTTTCATAGTGATTCAACATCTTGATGTTCTTCCTATGCAACTTCTGTGCACCTTTGAGCCTCCTGTCCTCTTTGCTTGGAGGAATCCCCTTCGTTTCCTTCTCTTCCTCCACATCTCCTCAGCACAACTATCCATCCTTCTAAGCCCATTCAGAGGCCGCCACCCTTACAAACTTTTCCGTAGCCCTCTCAGCAGGCTATTATATGTCCCTCCTCTGGGGTGTCACAGCACCTCCTGTGTAACTTTCTTAAACTATGAAAAAGTGTTAGTCGTTCAGTCATGTCCAACTCTCGGTGACCTCATGGACTATAACCCACCAGGCTCCTCTGTCCATAGTCCATAGAATTCTCCAGGTAAGAACACTGGAGTGGGTTGCCATTCCCTTCTCTAGGGGATCTTCCTGACCCAGGGATTGAACCCTGGTTTCCTGCAGCGCAGGCAGATTCTTTACCATCTGAGCCGCCAGGGAAGCCCCATAGCTTTCTTAAAACACATACCTAGATCTATCTTAAATTCCAGTTATTCGTGTGTCTACCTTATGCTTGCCTGCAGCTCAGTGAAGTCACCCTCTGTCATCTATATATTTGTGTCTCCTTCAGAGCCTGACTTGGGGATCTTGAAAAAAATATGTGATTTTAAAATGTTATTTTTATGTGTATAAAATGTCCATCATAATTAGTGGCAATGCATACAGTATTCTGTTCTTAAACTGCAGCTCTTCTAAAGTGAATAGCAATCATGGGAATTCAAGTTAGTAGGTGGTCATAGAACTATTTTAATTATAAATTAAATATACCTTCATTCTTAATTTGAACAAGGGTGTGTGGTTTCCGGATTCCCTTCACACAGATTAAGGAGAGCTTGACCCTTGACCCAGGAGGTCTCCAGCCCCTGAGCCTTTTCCTCAGCTGCTCACGCAGCTCCAGGGTAGAACGTGATCATCCCCTCATACATACTCATGTACTCACTGCCAGGCGCATTCCAGAGCTGGAATGATGGCTAATATTTATATTTCAGATAGCTTCCTTGTGTGCACAGTAGAGAAGGCGAGAGGAGTAATGTAGCATTAAACAGGTAGAGCCACCTGAAACCCTTCATCCCAAGATAAACGTCAGTGCGAGTAACCTGAGAGCGTGGGCTGTTAGTGGAGCTCCAAACCAGTTCCTTTCACAGCTCCAGCCTCCCAGCATCCTCTCTCTTAAGTTAGCACTTTTCAGAAGTTTTATGCAGTGCCTTCTTATTGGAAATTGGTGCGTGAGTGCTAAGTCGCTTCAGTCGTGTCTTGACTCTTTGCGATCCTGTGGACTGTACCCTCCACAGGCTCCTCTGTCCATGGGATTCTCCAGGCAGGAACACTGGAGTGGGTTGCCTTGCCTTCCTCCAGGGGATCCTCCTGATCCAGAGATAGAAACCGAGTCTCTTATGTCTCCTGTATTGACAGGCGGGTTCTTTACCACTGAGCCACATGGGAAGCCCTGAAAGATCTGTATCAGATCTGTATTTTGCAATGATTATCCTTAGATTTGTTCAGGGTATGAGTTTAATAAGATCATTAGCCACATCATCTGAAGGAGAAGCCCTGTTGTCTACTCTGCTAGAGCAGTGCTGCTCAGATTTTATCAGGCATGTGAGTTACCTGGGGATCTTGTTGACACTAAGAGTGTCATTTACTATGTCTGGGCTGAGTAGGAGATTGTGCATTTCTAATCAGCTCCAGACGCTGCTGTTGCTCCTGGTTCATGGACCACGCCAGGCAGGGGCCTAGATGAAAGTCCTGGGATTCGGTGATGCTGGATTTTTATCCAGACTCTGTCATTTAGGCAAAATGGTTTACCTTTCTGGGTTTTAGTGTTCCCATTCTGTAATATGAGGAGGTAAAGGGAGAGATATCTAACAGCTCTTTGCAGCTCTGACATGTTATGACATGGGAGGAAGTAAATAGAGTGAGGACTTGGGCTGCAGTTACTTACTTCCTGTTCATCTCAACCTGAACACTTATTTCCTGTTCATCTCAACCCAACTTTCATATCTGTTAATGTGTGCCCATGTGCTAAGTCACTTCAGTTGTGTCTGACTCTCTGTGACCCCATGGACTGTGCCGCCAGGCTTCTCTGTCCATGGGATTCTGCAGGTAAGAATACTGGAGTGGGTTGATATGCCCTCCTTCAGAGGATCTTCCTGAGTCAGGGATCAAACTCATGTCTCCTGCAGCTCCTGCAGGCAGAATTGCGGGCAGATTCTTTGCGCTGAGCCACCAGGGAAGCCCATACCTATTAATAGTTTATCTTAAATATAGTATGCATGACAAACATTAAAGTTTTCCATATTTATATTAGAATGTGGACCTGCAAAAATAGTTACAAACTCATGACTTAATAAATTAATTGCATGTAAAATACATCCCTCCCTCCATTCTCATCTTTCATGTCTGCTCTATTGTTTTATTTTATCAGGAAATACTTCATAGCTTGGGTGGAATTGAAAACCTAGCTCAGGTAAGATCTCTTTTGTGGTGGCTGGTCTTGCCTTTCCATTTTGTGCTGTGCCTCTGGGCAGAGATCCACAGTGTGTGACAGAGAGGTCTCTTTCAACATAGCTGCCTGCCAAGGAGAAGAGCCTAGGGTCGTGAATGTACAGCATACACACAGAGCAGGGAGGGACTTGAGCTGTTTTCTCCTGGCTGATTGGGCTCACTCTACCCCGCCTGTGAAATGAGAGAGTTTTATAAAAGGTCACCTATCTTTAGTGAGTGAAGAAAATAAATAGGTGTTGGCTGGCAGGCCCTGGGCCTCAGCAGTGCACACACCAAGCTGGCAGGAGAAAGTATTGGCTATGAGAATGTTCATAACTTTTTCACACAATAAAGAATTACTGTGCTCACTAAAATATTGGAATGATCTTCATGTATTTTTCTGCTTTGCTAACTACTGAGGGAAGGTAAGGAGCTGAATAAATATGCTGAGTCAGCCCAATGTTTGAGCTTATTAATACAATCAAGCAAAATTTCTAGTTATGGAAATAGTTGAAACAGCCCATCCTCCTAAAATCTATAGCATGTATGCAAAGAATAATTTTCATAATAAACCCATGGCCCTGCAAATTCATTCTAAATTATTAATGGATGATTAATTTTAATGGAAATTTAATTGTAAACCTATTATTTTTGTTCTTGGGAAATAGATAATATCTAGTTTTTATTTTGAAGAGATTTTTTTAATTGGCTAGAGGTTTAGCTCACTTAATGAAATAATCCTTTATAAGATTATATTGTAAAGGATCTTTCTATCCATTTTACTTCCATTAAAATGTCAGAAATATTTGTATTTCTCTGAACTGATTTCTTATTACTATCAGTTTTTATAATTTTACAAACAGTGAGGGATTTTCAGATTACCCCATACATTTCATTCTGATTATTGCTATCTACTTGTATGCTGGTTAGATGTAATTTAGGATATAAAACATAAGGTCAGTAAAATATATGCAGTGTGTTATAAAACTTCTAATGAAAAGATACATTGAATTAAAATTGTATGTACTGTATATTATATATCATGCATCTTATTTGTATCTTCTATTTGGAGGCTAAATTGCAGCACAGATTTATTGAGTTATGAGTCATCTTGGGACTTTTGAGAGTTTAAGCAGTCTTTCCAGGTCCCTCCCTCCACTTCTGGCACCGCAGCGGAGCTGAGAACCCAGGAACCCATCGTCTTCTGCACTTGCGTGAAGCAGGCGCAGGGTCACCGAGTGTTGTTTGGTGACCCTGTTGCGCCATCTACAGCTCATTTTCAGAAGTACACAACCTTACACCCGCTGCGTGCTCTCGGAGGCCTCTCTGCTCACCTGTTGTTTGGTCCCCCCGCAGTACATGGAGATCGTGGCGCACGGGTACCTCGGCTACGGGGAGGCGCAGCACAGTGTGGACAAGCTGGTCAACATGACGTGTGAGCGCGGCCCCGGGGGGCAGCGGAGGGAAGGGGGGACGCTTTGAACACTCAGGAGCGTCCCCACACAGCTATGGGCTTGAGAGTCCATGCCAACTGTTATGCTCAGTGGCAAAATGTACCCAGAGGGGAGATTTTAGATCATGATTCTTATCTTGAAAAGCCAAATTTCATGTTCAAAGAGACTTTCATTGAGCACAAGCTAAGGTTTATTTAGCATGAGAGACTTCTATAAAAGTAAGTGAAATGAAAATCGCTCAATCATGTCCCACTCTTTGCGACCTCATGGACTAGAAAGTCCATGGAATTCTCCAGGCCAAAATACTGGAGTGGGTAGCCTTTCCCTTCTCCAGGGGATCTTCCCAACCCAGGGATCGAACTCAGGTCTCCGGCATTGCAGGCAGACCAGCTGAGCCCCAAGGGAAGCCTATAAAAGCAACTTTTGGTAAAAATATTTTTTGCGTGCATGGTAAGTGGCTTTAGTCCTGCCCAACTCTTTGTGACCCATGGATTGTAGCCTGCCAGGCCCCTCTGTCGATGGGATTCTCCAGGCAAGAATACTGGAGTGGGTTGTGGTGCCCTTCTCCAGGGGATCTTCCCAACCCAGGGATCAAACCCCTGTTTCTTAGGTCTCCTGTATTGGCAGGTGGTTTTGTTTTGTTTTGTTTTAAAATCTAGTACCGCCTGAGAAGCCTGAGCACTCCCCCGTTTTAAGCTTCAAATCCCTCATCAAAATATCTCATTTCTTTATAGATATTTTTCAAAAACTTGCTGCTGTCAGAGACCAAAGAGAATGGGTCACCACAAGTGGAGCTCACAAGGTGAGTGGTCCCAGAAGGAGTCCCTGCTCCACCCCACCTGTAATTATAATTCGAAAACTTGCTGACCTAGCCTAAAACTGCCAGTCTCTGCTAACCCACCTAAAGAGTAAATTTAGAAATACCAAGTAGAGGTTTTCTGAAACTTCTTTCTTTTTTTCTATGCTCTTTAATTCTTTATTGCTTAATCAACTAATTTGATTACTTAATTTAAATGTTGCTATACATCAACTGACCCCCATTTATTTGTGTGTACTTACAAATAAATAAATATTAGTTTGGCACATGAAGTTATGTTAGTTTGAACCGTGGGAAATTACCATGGTCTGTAGGTCAGTTTCATGTGGTTTAACCTCAAAATAAGATGGTTTAGTATCACCAACCTGTGAGTCAAATACATATTTCAAGATGAATGAATGCAGGCTTAATCAAAACAGACTACATTTATATTTATAGCAAAACCATTTAGATGGTAGCTGCCTAGAGCTAGGTTTCAATAGTTTGTGAGTTTCTGTGTCCCAGGAAGCCACTATCCTGCAAGTATTAGAGGAAAGTGGTCTAAAATGTGTTAGCGCATGCTACTCATTTTATGGAGGTTGATTCTTAGTGATATACAGGTTAGCATCTTTTATTTCGATAGCTATATATTTCACTAATATCAGTTAGAATTTGAAGAACATTTTTGAGTAACACTAAGTTAGTGTTAAGGGTGCTTGTGACAAAAATTGTGAAATGATCTGTCAGTGACTGGAGTCTGGGAAACATTGTGTTGGAAGACAGAAAGGAGGGACTTCTCTGGTGTTCCCGTGGTTAGGGCTCTGCACGTTCACGGCAGGGGCTGCAGGTTCAATCACTATTCAGGGAACTAAGACCCCATATGCCATGCACCTTGGGGGAAAAAATAGAAAAAAAAGACAGAAAGGAAAAAGTGAGAGGAAAAAAAGAGGAAGGGATCTGAGAAACAAAGATAATGCTAGGTCCATGTGAAGTGCATGAGGTCATAAAGGGGAAAATTCGCATAGTAGAAACCCCAAATCAGCCTAGCTGTTGTGCAGGCTGCAGCTCTGGCCTGAAGTATGTCTGGGTGTACACTCTGGGGGACTCTGAAAATGTAGACAGAATATACATAACTCTGCGGTGATAGGAATCCTGAGAAGGTGACTGTGAGATACAGGTGACTCCCAGCTCAGTGATGTTACTTAGCAACAGTAAGAAATTTGAGAGGCAAATGGAGTGTCTGATAGTGTTAACATATTTTCCTTAGTTTGGGGAAAAAAAAGACAGTCTTCAACATTTTGTTGAAAAAATACTTCCGTAATTTGGAAAGTGCCTGCACAATGGCAGTGCCTGAGTCAGGGTGAGTTCTCATCCTGAGTGACGGGTGGCACCAGCAGACAGAGCAGAGAGCACGGACCTGGAAGTACAGGACCACATGCTTGGGTCCCCTTGGTTCTTTCCCTCGGTGGGGAATGCTTACGAGGAGCTCGTCCAAAGGGGTGGACGCCTGCCGCGGAAAGAACTGAGAATCATGACTGTTTAACAAACCTTCTTTTTTTGAGGTTAAGTATCTATAACCTTTAGAAGGAAACATACTGTTCAAGAAGCTTGTAGTACTTTTACATAATTAAACTATTTTACTTCATTTTTCAGACATTAGTAAATTTACTCAGTGCCCGAGATACGAATGTTCTGTTGGGCGCCCTTCTGGCTCTGGCTAGTTTAGCTGAAAGGTGAGTGCATTTTTAAAAGTTCTGCTGCTATAGCAACTCAGATGGGAGAAATGCAAAATTTATTTTGTTACCTACCTAGTTAAGATTTGTGAATAAAAACATGAAATACCATCAATATTTTGAAGAGGATCATTTTAGAATTTAAGTTGGAACAGCAAAGCAGTTAAAAATTTTTTTCTGACCAGAAATATTTACCTAGTCTTTTCATTCAACCCTCACTTATTTCTACTTTAAAATTGCACATTTCTTTGACAGTTAAATCTCCCTGACTGTCTTTCTTCATTCTGTCCTCTATACTTAAGACTTTTAAATATTTTTGCCCTTTAAAAAATTCTAGGTAACCCTTTCAGAGGTTATGATTATTTTCAAGAAAAAATTAAATATGTTTAAATATGTTTTTATGCCAATCAGTGGATCACTGTTTTGTTTTTTTCCAACNGTAAAATCTTCTCTCAGCAACTTTCACGTGCACGACCCTGTGTTACTAACTGCAGTTGCTGAGTAGGTGGATCTTTAGTGCACAGTCTTCTCACACCTGAAAGTGTATCCTGCATGTCCCTGTTCCTGCTGCTCCCAGCCCCTAGTAAGCACCTGCTATTCTGTCCTCTGTTTCTATATGGTCAGTTTTGCTGGTTTATTTTCGATTTCATATGTAAGTGATGCCATATGGTAGTTGCCCTTCTCTGTTTGGCTTATTTCATTTAACAGAATGTCCTCTAGGTTCATCCACATTATCAAAAATGACAGCATGTTTTTATGGCTGAACACAAAGAGTTGGACACGACTGAGCAACTGAACCGAACTGAACTGAATATTCAGTTGTGTACACATGATTATATTCAGTTATAACTGTATAAATATTCAGTCATCACATTTCTCTGTCTATTTCATCTATTGAAGGACCTATAGCTTGTTTCTGTTTCTTGGATATTGTGAATAATGCTCCTCACTGCTTTTTAGTGAACACCTTACGAATCCCCCTCTCCAGTGGGAACGATGTTAATCATCATACTGTTATTGAACAAATTTAAATGTATGACATATAATACTTACTGAATTTTGGCATTTAATGTAGCCCTGCTCTATAGAGCTATATTGCATTTTGCTTCTCCTCCTGGGATAATATGAGGACTAAGGTATTAAATATGTGGATGTGGTATCAACAAAAGCCATTTCTCATAGTTACTAATACTTTTCAATTTGTAGTCCAGAGTGTAGGGAGAAGATAAGTGAGCTCAACATTGTAGAAAATCTGCTGATGATTTTGCATGAATATGACTTGCTTTCCAAAAGGTAGGATTGCTAATAGGGGAAAATGGCAGTGTCTTATATTTGATGAAAATGATGGTTATTATTCTAATTATGCCATGTTACATTGTTAGCTGAATATCATGAGTCAGCTTGGCATTTATTTTCTATTTAAGTTTATATAAAGTAACAAATAGTAAAGAGGTATATCAGTTTATCTCTGGTCCTGAACTGGTCATACATTTGAAATATATAAATCTATGATTGCATCTTTAATACTTTTGTTTATTATATTTTTTTTACCTCCTGTCTCCTTAAGGAAAGACACTCTAAGGTGACTCTACTTTTAGTAATTTCAGATTGTGTGTTGAATAAATGATTAGATTCCGAAAATCTATTTTGCTTAAGGCAAGTAAAATACACCAAGATAGCTACTGACTGATTTCATGACCAAAACAGAATCTAGAGTAAAATGAGTCATTTTCACTTGAAAATTTTGCCCTAAAAACGTACTATATCCAGATATCTGTTAGGTTATCAAGTTGCAACCTGTGTCATTTGATACTTAGTTGAGTGTCATTTGATACTGAGTTGAGTAAATCGTAATATTCTAAGGAGGCAAAATAGTTAATAGAAATCCCAGGCAATAAAGCACTGACATTTAATTCATAATAAATCCATCGAATTCTTCTTCTAAGCCAATTTAACCCTCTTTTACCCACTGTACTGGTTGGTATAGATTTGGCTATCTGAATTCATTTACCTAATAGACCCTGCGCAGGTGTTGAAAAGCCAAAAATGAACGAGACAGGGTTGCACAATGCAGGGGAGGGTCAGACACACAAGCCGTCGTTTCACCCCAGTGTTGTAGTTGGTGTGGTCGCTGAGGCACAGGACGATACTCTGGGGGCAGGGCCCCTCCAATTGGAGCAAGAGGTCATTCCAAGCTTCCTAAAAGAAGGAGCAATTGTCCAGGCAGTAAAAGGGACAAGTGAACAGAATGTGCTCCCCCTGGAGGTGTGCAGTGATGTGCAAGAGATGAGCATGTGTGGGTGGGTGCAGCTCCAGCAGAGTGCGGGAGGGGGTGCCAGAAAACTAGTCAAACAGATGGTGATCAGTTAGAGATAGAGTTCACTTTGGCCAGCTCTCTGCAGGCCAGGCGCTGCTCTAAGCACTTCTCTGTGTTGACTTGTTTAATCTGAACAATAACTCTTCCCATATTTTACAGATGAGACACCTTTAACCAGGTCATTGATGGGCTGTTTGTGTGGTTTTTATCATGAACATCATGGAAACTTACAGAGAGATTTTAAGCATGATTGGATGGATTTTGTGGGAACAGTTCTGATTTTAGTGTGTGGGGTGTGGAATTCAGCCACACAATGAGATTCACTTAGAATAAAGAGGGAAGGTGTGGTGTAGGAAGTTTGAGAAGGTGAAGAATGCAGTCTACCAAAGCACATGTGTTCTGAATGTCAGAGCATAGACATCTGGGAGAGAGAAGGGCTGTGGAAATTAGCTCAGGTAAAGGAATTGTGGGGCTTCCCAGGTGGCACTAGTGGTAGATAACCTGTCTGCCAATGCAGGAGACATAAGACATGCAGGTTCGATCCTTGGGTTAGGAAGATCCTCTGGAGGAAGGCATGGTAACCCACTCCAGTATGCTTGCCTCCAGTATTCATGGAGAATCCCATGGACAGTGAAGCCTGGTGGGCTACAATCCATAAGGTTGCAAAGCGTTGGACACAACTGAAGGGACTTAGCACACACACAGAGGAATTGTGAGTCCAGATAAGAATGGGAATGTCGGAGAGCTGGATGAATGAGGTGCTTGTATCTTGAGCATAGTTGAGCATCACTAGGATGGAGGGACAGTGGGGATAGCTACTGCAGGACTCACAGAAGAATTAGCCCCAGCGCTTGCCTCAGAAACAGGGGCACTGAAGGTTCCCTACTGCAGGGATAGGTTGAAGAGGAAGTGTCTTGGACGATTCCCAATCTTTGGCTTGGAAATTGAAAAGGCGATGGTGTCCTGGGTCCAGATCAGGAACATGAGAGGAAGGGCTGGTCTGAGGAGGAGGATAAGGACTTTGAGGCTAGAGACAGTTGGGTGAGTGCCTGTGGAGCACCTAAGTGGCTCACTGGAAACTCCAGAGGTGGAGAGTGATGCTTGCATGAACTCTCCATGTAGGGCAGAGAGAGGGTCTGAGGCTTTAAGAATAAATGACACCATCCCAGGAGTGTTCAGATTGTGAGCCTGGGGGATAGGATGCTTCTCTGAAATGTCTGTCCTCATAATGTTTCAGAGCTTAGTTGAACCTTATGTCTTATCCATCATTATCTTTTATTTTTCAGATGTTCACTGAGCGCTTTACATTTAATTTCCCTGGATCATAGTGTTTTTTTTGCCATCATATATTAATGTCTCATTTTTAAAAAAAGATTTATTTGGCTGCATTAGGTCTTAGTTGTGGCATGCAGGCTTAGGTGCCCTGAGCATGTGGGACCTTAGTTTCCTGACTAGGGATTGAACCCATGCCCTCCGCATTGGAGGGTGGATTCTTAACCACTGGACCATGAGGGAAGTCCCTAATGTCTCGTTTTTACAATCACATAATACGTTTCTGAAGACTAAGATAGAGCTTTTATATTTCTTTGGTCTTGAGCATAGTGCAGGTCCCATTGTATGTACTTGATGCCTATTTGCTGATTAGTAGGTTTTTAGCCAGACCAATGGGGATACCGTGAAGATGTGACTTAGAACGTGGTTACAAAACCACGACCTGCAGGTGAAATTTGGCCCCCTGCCTGCCTTTGTAAATAAAGGTTTATCGGCACACAGCTGTGCCTGTTGGTTTTTGTGTGTTGCCTGTGGCTGCCCTTGCACGTGTGAGTGTGACTGGGTAGTCGTGACAGAGACTGTAAGGCCTACAGAGCTACAAATACTTAGCTGTGGTCCAGCCCTTGCAGAAATGTGTGCAGACAGAGCTGCTGCGCCTGCTCTGTGCCGAGCGCCAGGTGAGAGAGCAGGTGAAGCTCTACGAGGGGGTCCCTGTCCTGCTCAGCCTGCTGCACTCAGACCACCTGAAGCTGCTATGGAGTGTCGTCTGGATTCTGGTGCAAATTTGCGAGGACCCAGAGACCAGCGTGGAAATCCGCATTTGGGGTGGCATCAAGCAACTTCTTCATATTTTACGAGGGTGAGTCAGGGTGGACTTCCACCTGTGTCACCCTGGTTGATGAAAGCTGGGGTCTCAGCCGCTTCAAGGCAGGGTGGGCACATGCTCGGCTAGCTCCCCTGCTCTTTGGTGATTCCTGTTCTGCAGTCATTTTTACTTGTTGTAAACAGGCTCTTCGTTAATGTCGAGCATTTGTCTTTTCGGCTTCTTGGTGGGGTGAGGTTGGGGGGAGCCCTGACATGTTTATCTTTGCATCAGGCTGGTGCCAGGGGTAAAGAAGGCCTTCACTCTGCAAATGTGGGCTGAATAGAAACCCACAGAAAACATTTGTCTGGCTACCCTTCTTGAATCAGTATATGCATATTATAATCCCAACAAATAGACTAGTTACTACTGTTTTACTAAAATGTCTGTGTGCATATATGTCACTCATCTATAAAAAGAAGGCAAAGCCTGCATGACTGGAGCAGGTGTATAACCCTTAGCTGAAACAGGAGAAAATACTGTCCATCAAATGATTCCATGTTACTGACCCTGGTCCAGTTGCTCGTCTCTTCTCTCTAATCTCCATGGCAGTGCTCTGAGCTGTGTGAACACCTTGCTGTCTCTCTTTTAAAAATAGAATTCAGTGATGTTCAGAGACATCAATCTGGGGAAGAAATGGTTTGTTGAAAGAGTTGCAAACTGAAATTCTCTTGAAGTATGTTGCAAAAATTATAACAGTAACAACAGATAGTAGATATTATGTGTATTACATACACTGAAGTATTGAATAACAACATCTATTGGTACCATCAGTGGGGAGGGTTCCATTACCTAAAATTATTGTAAAGCATAATTCAGTCCCTCTAGATGCTGAATTAAAGGTTAAAAGGATTATATCTGCCTAAGAAAAGATCACACTTATCTGTAGTATGTAAATAAAGCTCATTCTAATAAAAGAGTAACATCAATTTTAATATAACATGCTATCACATCAACTTCATTCAGACTTTGTGCTTATTGTGCCTTGTAACTTGATATTGTGGAGCTGTGTGTCATCACTTCCATTTTGTGAGTAAACTTTCCAAAGTGTAAGAACAGACTAGAGATCTGAGCAGTAGCTTTCTTAACAATTTCTGTCCTTGCCAAAATGAAGGAAAAGACGTGTAGACTGTTGACAACCTTCTTGTTTTCGAATATCACACAAAAATCTCAAATACTTTAAAGTTTAAATTATAAATCTTTCATTAGTATTGTGGCATAATGGGTTAGCCTAATAGTCAAAATAACTCTGATTGCAGATGTTTTTTCCCACTTGAGTTTGTAGGATGATGATGTTGGTGGTGGTGGTGGTGATAATTTTTGTTCCATGATAGTTATTACAGTGGGTGTAGGGAGCCCTCTTGGAGAGCAGTTATTTTCTTGATGATAAAATTAAATTATATAATAAGCAATATTTCAAGGACAATGCCTACACAGAGCTGAGTTTAATATAAGGCACTAGTTTTCCTATTTTGTTCAAGCCATAACTATTCTTGATAGAAAAGAGTTCTTTTACATCTAAAAAAAGTAATTTTCCCAGTCCACTTCTGTGGTACAATGTTAGAAATCTCTTCCCTGGAAAGATGATATATGTCAACACTTATTCTATGTTAAACATTGCTCAGTGCTCTGGGAGAATTATGACCCCAGCTGGGTAAACAGTATCCTTTCAGAGCTTGGCTGCCTGGAGCTGGTACAAGGCTGCCAGGTTGTCTACTGGCTGGAGTATGAACAGGCTGTGTTGTCAGGGTGGCATCCAGGAGGTCTAGTCATGCCCATTCACCCGCAGTCCCAAACTCAGAGGCAGTAGCTAAAAGGCTCCCTGCTCTGGATCAGGCAGAGTGAGCCCTGGCATCCAAGTTTGATCATAACTGAAGTCACTGATGGTGATTACCCCTAGACCTGGCTGCATGCTCTTCCCTGTGCTCCCCAAAGGAAGGGCAGAGGGCCTGGTGATGCAGGAGGGAGCCCAGGGGACTCCATCCATGCTGCATTTGGGCATATAGAAATCTAGGTACAGCTGCGGTCATGACAACCAAATACAAAAACAAACAAAAAACAACTCAGGGCAATCATGTAAAACAAAAGGCAACAAAGCAGGTAAAGACAGATAAATAATCTGTTGTGGAAGATGTTACACCAAGTAAACAGAGAATCAAATGCTTTATTTTGTCAAAGACTGAACAGACCGTGAAGTTTATAAAATGAAATTGAAGGTGAGATGATAGAACAGCACAGAGGAGAGCAGGATGACTGTGGAGCTGGGAAAGATGAGAACTGAACAACATGCCCAAACCCAGTACCAGGAAGAATGTGGAGTCAGTGAAGGGAAGGGCATGCCTGATGACATTACACACAGCACAAGGGAAGCGGATGAGGGAACCAGCGCACCTGGAAAAGGAAGTGTACTGCCACAGAGCATGTGGGTAATTGACACCCCTAAGGCAAGGGAAATTTTGCAAAGCCTCAATGATCTAATAAAAGAGAACTTCCCTAAGATAAAAGAAGACTGAAATTTAATGGAAAAAGATAAAACCCAGAATGATGAAGACCGAGATGTATTCAAGTAAATGGCAGAGGAAAAGAGTTCAAAACAGAGGTGGCTGAATGAAACAGAGAGAGATGACTCCTACATCACACTGTACACAGAAATCATGTCTGGGTTGTTTGGAAGGTCAAAAATAAAGATAACATAGGAGAAAACTTTATGATCTGGGAGAGGCAAGATTTCTCAAATGGAAACCAGAAAGCACTGACCATGAACTGCCATTGGTAAATCGGTGTGTGCATTGACTTCTTTTTCAGAGACAGAAATTTTGTTTCTGATCGATCCTCCATTGGAAGCCTGTCTAGTGCCAATGCGGCTGGCCGAATCCAGCAGCTTCATTTGTCAGAAGATTTAAGCCCTCGGGAAATACAAGAAAATACTTTTTCTCTTCAAGCAGGTATTTATATCACATCATTATGTTTTATTATTTGATACTGTTTAACTTTATATTATTCTAAGATTATAAGGATAGTATTAATTAGGCCCAATTTATAACTATAAATGCTATGAAGTTAAATTCATGTGGATGCTTGAAACTTCTTGGTACCAGTGTTGGATTGCAGATTAATGACACCCCGAACTTTCCTTGCCGTGTTCTGGACAGGTGCACAGCTAGGGGTTAGACTCCTGGCCCCTTCTCCTTACAAGTTCTGTGTTCTAGTCTATCAGCCCTCCGAAACAGTTCATGCTCAGATTGTAAAGGTTACTTTGTATAGTGTATTTAAAGTGCACACTATTTGTCCACCCATCGTGGACGTACACTGCACACCTGCTCCATGAGGGCCCTGTTGGGCTCGGGGCGGATGAAGGCTGTGCGTGGGGTGTGTGCGCACTTGGGTTACACGGAGAATGCAGGCGCCAGCCAGCACAGCTCAGCTGCCTTTCCCCAGAGGTGTGCCATAGGGAAAACCAGTATTTGTTTTAAAACCAACTCTTCAAAAAAAGTATTTCTTTATTTGGGTGCACGAGGTCTTTGCTGCAGCACACGGCGTCTTTGATCTTCATTGCGGCATGTGGGGTTTTTAGTTGCAGCATGTGGGATGTAGCTCCCTGGCCAGCGCTTAGACCCGGGCCCTGTGCAATGGGAATGTGGAGTCTTGGTCACTGGTCCACCAGGGAAGGCCCAGAAAGTTAGTGTTTTTTGAGGAGTGACTCTGCCAGTGAAGTTCTCTGAGTGCGGATGTAACCATGCCAGTGTAGCCATGGGCACGAAAGACTTGGTGTTTGGTGGTTTTCGTTGCAGCCTGCTGTGCGGCCCTCACGGAGCTGGTGCTGGACGACACCAACGCCCACCAGGTGGTGCAGGTGAGGGGCGGGGCGCCGCGAGCACGCACAGTGGAGGGGTGGGGCGTCGGTACCACGCACAGTGAGGGGGGGTGGGCTGTGGGGGTGTGTGTGTGGGGCGGGGGGCCGTGTGTGCCAGGATGTGGCCTCTGTCGTCCTGACAGCCCGGTCTTCAAGTATTGTAATCTCTTATCTGATGTGTAAGATTCCATTTTAGATTCCTGTTCTTCCCCTGTTAACTCACTTAGCTTTAAGAGAACTGCCATGTAGTTGACTGATGATGTTTATTTCTTATATTATATGCAGTTTATTTCATTCTCTTTATACTTTTTAAAAAAGCTATCCTGAACTGTTTTAATTTGGGGCACACAGGATTCCATGAGCTAAGGATAACAGTAACTTTAAGAGGACATCAAGTTATTTAGGGTCTATGCCCGGTAGTGGGATGGTGGGGTCATATGGATGAAACACAGCAAACAAAATATTTATTGCTGAGAGACTAATTTCAGAAAACACACAAAGCATAATTCAGTAACCAACTTACTACATATGGAGTCATACATATGTGTGTGTGTGTGTGTATAAATACACACATTTGTATACCACCCATAAAACTTACTTCCTGCTTATTGGATTTTACAGAGGAAACATTTTTTTGGGGGGGTCAATACATCAACTTGAAAATATATAAATTCATAATGTTAGTAAGGGTCAGGTCAGCAGTGATGAGCGTTCCTGAGGAGCCCAGCAGGTCAGGGTGGCTGGTAAGGCAGGGGGAAGCTCAGTCCCGTGACTGTTAACTTGCTGTCTCGGTCTTTGGAAAAGTATTCAGCCTAAGCATTGACTTTCTCATGTATAAAACAAGGAAACTGTAAGACTAATTCACATAATAGCTAGTAAGTCAAAAAGAGAGAAGCAGATATTGTGTATTAACACATATATATGGAATCTAGAAAGATGGTACTGATGAACCTATCTGCAGGCAGCAGTGGAGACGCAGACCCAGAGAACAGACTTGTGGACCCAGTGGGGGAAGGAGAGGGAGGGGCACATTGAAAGAGTAGCACGGAAACACACACAAACCAAATGTGAAATAGGTAGCCACTGGGGGTTTGCTGTGTCATGCAGGGAGCGCAGACAACCTCTGTGACAACCTAGAGGGGTGGGGTGGGGTGGGAGGGGGGAGGGAGATTCAAGAGAGAGGGGACATGTGTATACCTATGGCTGATTCATGGTGATGTATGGCAGAAACCAACAATGCAATATTTACAACAATATTATAAAGCAGTTATCCTCCAGTTAAAAATAAATTATTTTATAAAAGACTGAATGCAGTAAGGCAGGTAAAACTCTGAACATAGAGAATTTAGTAAATTATGTGTTTAATAGATAATAAAAAAGTACCAATAAGGCAATACATGTTGTTCATTCCTCCATGTGTGTATTTGTATTAGAATAAGTCTCAGTTCAGTTCAGTTCAGTCGCTCAGTCATGTCCAACTCTTTGCGACCCCATGAATTAGCACGCCAGGCCTCCCTGTCCATCACCAACTCCTGGGAGTTTACTCAAACTCATGTCCATTGAGAATAAGTCTAGAAAGATGTTAATTGTTTCTACAAATAGCATTCATTTTTTAAAATCTATTTTCTCTTAATTTTCTCTTTTTTTCTATGCTAATTTATCTCCATGTATTGTCTAATTAACAAAACAATAAAGGGAGAAATATTTTATATAATTTTTATAAATTATAGCTTTATATAATTATATTTTATAATTTTATATTTAAAATACAAAATATAGAGATATTTGGATCCCTTAACTCTGCTCCCTTTTTGGCTCCTACTCTTTGATTTTAAAGTATTTAAAGCACTTTTAATTGATGTACTTTGTTATCATCTTTAATGACAGTTGAAATTTTAAGATCTGGTTATACCCTTTGATGTTTAAACACATTACATTAACATCTTTAGTATTGTCCTGTAATATTTACTTATGGTTCCAAAATTATACTAATATTTCTTCTTTAATGTTTTAAAGTTGTTCTTTTCTTCTTGCTCACTGATAACATGGCATCTTTATTTTTCCAGGAAAATGGTATATATACAATAGCAAAATTAATTTTACCAAACAAACAAAAGAATGCAGCAAAAACTAATCTATTACAGGTAATAAACATATCTATTATTCTTTAATATCAAGTTACTGGAATCTGGGGAAATTTTGATAATATAAGGTGTGATTTTTAGAACTTGTAGGTTAGCACTGGTCCCCTGTACTGACTGTGAGGGAAAAATACCTGGTGAGAGAGGCTGGCATGAAAAGAAATGCTGTTAAAACAGTGTAAAAGATTTAATAGTAGTTTCTCCATAGGGAGATAGGTGATTTTATTTAGATATTTCTTTGCTTATCCATAAGTTCTATGTTTTTAAAAATATTGCTTATATATCAGTAAAAAAAAAAGGAGGGGTGGTGGAAATTATGTGCTGTATTTAAGCACTGCCCACGGTCACTAGCCTTTCTCCTCTACAAAGGCAAACTTGTAAAATGGATCTCAGTAGATGAGAAGGTGCTGGTCGGGAGAGTGAAGGGTGGAGTGGACACCCATGACTCCTGCCCCAGAGCGGCTGGGCACACACAGAGGAGCATGGACACGGCAGGAAGGCCTGGCAGCTCCGAGGGTGCTTAGGGCAGGTGTGGGGGTGGAGGACGAGGGGCAGTGCCTTGGGAGAAGGGGCCTGGTGGGTAAGAAGGGGTCACATTCTGCAGGGTCTTTCATGGACACCAGGGGGCAAGTGTTCCCCGAGACACTGAAATAATAAAATCGGATTCAGAGGAAGCCTTTGCAGCTGTTGAAGCTCATCGTTTTTTTCAAGTCATTAGAAAAGGAAGTAAAAAGTACCATCTGCCTTCAAGCTGACTTAAGAGCTCCCACCCAGAATGATCGTCAGACCCCGCAGAGAAATTGTGGTGTCTGTGGGCTGGCAGACAGAGCCACCGCTGAGAACACACAGGCGTGGGGCTGACTTTCTCTCAGGCAGCACAGAGGCCTGACCTTGCGCCAGAACAGGAGAAGTCCACCCTTTACTGGACGTGCCGCCTGTTAGGTCAGCAGAGGGCTTTAAAGAATTTGTATGCAAATTCTCCCGAGACTCACACAGGTTCCCCACTTCTCACAGCCGCCACTGCTTTCTCATCAGGCTCCTTTGTATCGTCTTGTATCTGCCTGACTTTTCCAGGCCATTTTCTTTGCGACCCTTCTGTACTTAGATCACTGATTTTATGAAATGATTCCAGACTTGATCTCAGCAGACGCTAGTCACCCTTGTGGTGGCCTCGGGTTCAGGTACAGTGGCAGTCGGGGGCTCTCTTGCCCTCTTTGCTCAGCACTGCAGAATTTCCAGTGTGTGTTTTTCTCTGGTGAACCCTCACAGGCCTCTTCTGAGTGTTCTCAGGAGTGACTGTAGATGGTTCTGTCTGGGGACTGCCTTAGACTTTACTCAAGAAACCAATTTGTCAAGCTGGAGTCCACCGTGCCTGTGGAGATTTTTATATGTCATCATTTCTAGGGTTTATTTTCTCACAAAAATGATATAAATATTGAGGCGTATGTAGCAGGCTAGAAACAAAATTAACCTTGAACTCCGGGAAATCTTGTGACATTTGGTTTTCTTGGCACAGGAGTTCTACTTCTTGTTTCTGTGCCCCTTTTGTACATTCTAGAAGGGAACTAATGACAGGCACTGAATCAAACAAGGCCCAGACTGCCAGCCTGCTGCAATGCAAATGCTTTTTAAACAGGGGAACTGGCTCCGGTGTTGATGTCACCTGTTCTCAGATACGAGCTGTGGCTCCCACAGGCACCAGCCATCCTCACTGTAGAGCCACGTTAGTGTCCACGTCATGGTCATTCTACCCTGAAAATGCTTTACCTTCTTGAGCTACCATTTGAGAATCACATATCCTTCTATTTTCCAGTGTTATGCATTCAGAGCCTTGAGGTTTCTCTTCAGTATGGAAAGAAACAGACCACTCTTTAAAAGGTATGAGCTTAGAGAAATTTGGGTGACCCGTGATCTTTAGATTCAACTGTTTTCACAGGCCTGCTTTATATGCAAACAGTAAGAGAAGAAAGAGTCAAATGCAAACCATGTGTCCTCGGATTTCTTAAAATGCACAGATACAGCAAAGCAGTGCTAACTGATATCTTAACACCGAACATTTGCAGAGTGATGAGGAAGCGCGTGAATCAAATCAGTACAGCTCTTTTCATTACCTGTGACTGCTGCAGTGTTTACTTTTTCTCTTTTTTAAGACGTTAACTTTTAAAATGATGAAATAAAATCATGTGCTTGATTTTGCCCCTTCAGAAATGTCCGAAGTTGATCTAGTCATTTCCTTTTTAAAAACATTTTGGCTGTGCTGGGTCTTTGTTGCTGAGCACAGACTTTCTCTAGTTGAGTGGAGCAGGGACTGCTCTCGTTGCAGAGTACAGGCTCTAGAGCTTGGGTTCAATAGTTGGGGCCCACGGGCTTTGTTGCCCCATAGTATGTTGGATCCATCCTGACCAGGGACCGAAGCTGAGTGTTCCACATTGGTAGGTGGACTCCCAGGCCTTGGACCACCAGGGAAGTCCTAATCACTGCCTTTTAATCAGTAGAGAAGAAAATACTTATCTGGATGCTCTTCATAGGATAGGAATTCATTTGTAGGGTAGGAAGCTGGGTGTTCCTGGATCAGAAGGCTGTGTGGCGAGCATGACAGAAAAGCCACCACCTCAGGAAGCAGACAGTGGTTTCTCACAGGTGTGGTCTGTGCATCATAGAGGTGGCAGGTTAGCCAAATCAAAGGCCCAGGTTCTTATTAGAATTTCATTGATAAACCAGAATGGAAATAAAACCATGAGTTAATTGAACATCGTTTGTTCAGAATGGGACATTTTGTGTTTTTACTTTATTTCTATATGACACTTAACATTTAGGGGAAAAAAGGAAATATTAGTTACTCATTGTTGTTGTTCAGTCAGTAAGTCATGTCTGACTCTAGGTGACCCCATGAACTACAGCACACCAGGCTTCCCAGTCATCCACTATCTCCTGGAGTTAGCACAAACCCATGTCCATTGTGTCAATTTCAGTTTAGTTGCTCAGTTGTATCCAACTGTTTGTGACCCCATGGGCTCTAGCACACCAGGCCTCCCTGTCCATCACCAACTCCCAAAGCTTACTCAGACTCATATCCATTGAGACAGTGATGCCATCTAAGCATCTCATCCTCTGTCGTCCCCTTCTCCTCCTGCCTTCAATCCTTCCCAGCATCAGGGTCTTTTCCAATGGGTCAGTTTGTTGCATCAGGTGGCCAAAGTATCAGCTTCATAAGTCTTTCCAATGAATATTCAGGACTGATTTCCTTTAGGATAGACTGATTTGATCTCCTTTCAGTCCAAGGGACTCTCAAGAGTCTTCTCCAACACCATAGTTCAAAAGCATCAATTCTTTGGTGCTCAGCTTTCCTTATAGTCCAATGCTCACATCCATACATGACTACTGGAAAAACCATAGTTTGACTAGATGGACCTTGTTGGCAAAGTAATGTCCCTGCTTTTTAATATGCTGTCTAGGTTGGTCATAGCTTTTCTTCCAAGGAGCAAGTGTTTTTTGATTTCATGGCTGCAGTCACCATCTGCAGTGATTTTAGAGCCCCCCCCACATAAAGTCTCTCACTGTTTCCATTGTTTCCCCATCTATTTGCCATGAAGTGATAGGACTGGATGCCATAATCTTAGTTTTCTGAATGTTGTTTGAAGCCAACTTTTTCACTCTCCTCTTTCACTTTCATCAAGAGACTCTTTAGTTCTTCACTTTCTGTTATAAGGGTGGTGTCATTTGCATATCTGAGGTTATTGATATTTCTCCTGGCAGTCTTGATTCCAGCTTGTGTTTCATCCAGCTGGCATTTTGCATGATGTACTCTTCAGAAAAGTTAAATAAGCAGGGTGACAGTATACAGCCTTGACGTACTCCTTTCCCAACTTGGAACCAGTCTGTTGTTCCATGTCCAGTTCTAACTGTTGCTTCTTGACCTGCACACAGATTTCTCAGGAGGCGGGTAAGATAGTCTGGTATTCCTATCTCTTTAAGAATTTTCCACAGCTTATTGTTATCCACACAGTCGAAAGCTTTGGCATAGTCCATAAAGCAGATGTTTTTTTCTGCAAACCCACTTGCTTTTTGATGATCCAACGGGTGTTGGCAATTTTATCTCTGGTTCCTCTGCCTTTTCTAAAACCAGCTTGAACATCTGGAATTTCACAGTTCATGTACTGTTGAAGCCTGGCTTGGAGAATTTTGAGCTTTACTTTGCTAGCATGTGAGATGCGTGCAATTGTGTGATAGTTGAACATTCTTTGGCATTACCTTTCTTTGGGATTGGAATGAAAACTGACCTTTTCCAGTNTCATACCTGAATGGTCTAGTGGTTTTCCCTACTTTCTTCAATTTAAACTTTAATTTTTCAATAAGGAGCTCATGATCTGAGCCACAGTCAGCTCTTGGTCTTGTTTTTTGCTGACCGAATAGAGCTTCTCCATCTTTGACTGCAAAGAATATTATCAATCTGATTTCAGTATTGACCATCTGGTGATATCCATGTTTGTGTTGTTAGAAAAGGGTGTTTGATATGACCAGTGCATTCTCTTGATCCTTTTTGGCTGTTAGTTCTAGAAGGTCTTGTAGGTCTTCATAGATCCATTCAACTTCAACTTCTTCAGCATTACTGACTGGGTCATAGACTTGGGTTACTGTGATATTGATTGGTTTGCCTTGGAAATGAACAGAGATCATTCTGTTGTTTTTGAGATTACATCCAAGTACTGCATTTCAGACTCTCTTGTTGACTATGAGGGCTACTCCATTTCTTCTAAGGGATTCTTAGCCACAGTAGTAGATATAATGGTCATTTGAGTTAAATTTGCCTGTTCCAGTCCATTTTAGCTCACTGATTCCTAAGATGTCAGTGTTCACTGTTGGCATCTCCTGTTTGACCACTTCCAGTTTACCTTGATTCATGGACCTAACATTCCAGGTTCCTAGGCAATGCTGTTCTTTACAGTGTCAGACCTTGCTTCCATCACCAGTCACATCCACAGCTGGGTGTTGTTTCTGCTTTGGCTCCGTCTCTTCATTCTTTCTGGAGTTATTTCTCCACTCTTCTCCAGTAGCTTATTGGGTACCTACCTATCTGGGGAGTTCATCTTTCAGTTCCCTATCTTTTTGCCTTTTCATACTGTTCATGGGGTTCTCAAGGCAAGAACACTGAAGTGGTTTGCCATTCCCTTCTCCAGTGGCCCACATTTTGTCAGACCTCTCCACCATGACCCATCCGTCTTGGGTGGCCCTACATGGCATGGCTCATAGTTTCATTGAGTTAGACAAGGCTGTGCTCCATGTGATCAGTTTGATTAGTTTGCTGTGACTGTGGTTTTCATTCTGTCTGCCCTCTGAAGGATAAGGATAAGAGGCTTATGGAAACTTCCTGATGGGAGAGACTGACTGTGGGGGAAACTGGGTCTTGTTCTGATGGGTGGGGCCATGCTCAGTAGATCTTTAGTCCAAAAATCTATTGATGGCTGGAGCTGTGTTCCCTCCCTCCCACCATTGTGTCGATGATGCCACCCAAACTTCTCATCCTCTGTCACTGCCTTCTCTTCCTGCCCTCAGTCTTTCCTAGTATCAGGGTCTTTTCCAGTGAGTCGGCTCTTTACATCAGGTGGCCAAAGTATTGGAGCTTCAGCTTCAGCATCAGTTCTTCCAGTGAATATTCAAGGTTTATTTCCTTTAAGATTGACTGGTTTCATGTCCTTGGTGTCCAAGGGACTCTCAAGAGTTTTCTCCAGTGCCACAGTTCAAAAGCATCAATTCTTCAGTGCTCAGCATTCCTTATGGTCCAACTCTCACATCCCTGCATGACTACTGGAAAAATCATAGCTTTGATTATATAGACCTTTGTTGGCAAAGTGATGTCTCTGCTTTTTATTATGTTGACTAGGTTTGCCATAGCTTTCCTTCCAAGGAGCAAGCATCTTTTAATTTCATGACTGTGGTCACCATTATTCATTATTATTATTATATATATTTATTCATTATAACCTTTTATTTCAGTGCTGTAAATCACCAGATTGTCAGTACCAAAAACAGATTATATTCTCTGCAGCACAAGATAGAGAAGCTTTATCTCTATCAGTCAGTAAAAACAAGACCTGGAGAAAAAAAAAAGACCTGGAGCTGACTGTGACTCAGATCATGAATCCATATTGTAAAATTCAGCCTTAACTTGAAGAAAGTAGGGAAAACTACAAGGTCATTCAGGTATGACCTAAATCGAATCCCTTATTATTACACAGTGGAGGTGATGAATAGATTCAAGGGACTAGATCTGGTAGACAGAGTACCTGAAAAACTGTGGATGGAGGTTTGTAAAATTGTACAGGAGGTGGTGACCAAAAGCATCCTAAAGAAAAAGAAGTGCAAGAAGGCAAAGTGACTGTCTGAGGAGGCTTCACAAGTAGCCAAGGAAAGAAGAGATGTGAAAGGTAAGGGAGAAAGAGAAAGATATACCCAGCTGAATGCAAAGCTCCAGAGAGTAGCAAGGAGAGATAAGAAGGGATTCTTAAAGAACAATGCGAAGAAATAGATGAAAACAATAGAATGGGTAAGACCAGAGATCTCTTCAAGAAAATGAGAGATATCAAGGGAACATTTCATGCACAGATGGGCATAATAAAGGACAGGAACAGTAAGGACCTAACAGAATCAGAAGAGATTAAGAGGAGGTGGCAAGAGTACACAGATGAATTATACAAGAAAGATCTTAACCATGATGGCATGGTCACTCACCTAGAGCGAGATATCCTGGGATGTAAAGTCAAGTGGGCCTTAGGAAGCATTACTATGAACAAAGCTAGTGTAGGTGATAGAATTCCAGCTGAGCTATTTCAAAGCCCAGCAGATGATGCTGTTAAAGTATTGCACTCAATATATCAGCAAATTTGGAAAACTCAGCAGTGGCCACAGGAGTGGAAAAGGTCGGTTTTCATTCTAATCCCAAAGAACGGCAATGCCAAAAAGTGTTCAAATTACCAGACAATTATACTCATTTCATATGCTAGGAAGGTTATTCTCAAAATCCTTCAAGCTAGGCTTTAGCAGTATGTGAACTGAGAGCTTCCACATATACAAACTGGGTTTTGAAGAGGCAGAGGAACTAGAGATCAATTTGCCAGCATTCATTGGATCATGGAAAAAACAAGGGAGTCCCAGTAAAACATCTACTACTACCTCATTGACTACATTAAAAGCTTTGACTCTGTGAATCACAGAAAAGTGTGGAAAATTGTTAAAGAGATGGGAATACCAGACCATCTTATCTGTCACCTGAGAAGCCTGTATGCAGGTCAAGAAGCAACAGTTAGAACTGAATATGGAACAATGGACCGGTTCAAAACTGAGAAAGGAGTATATAAGGGCTGTATATTGTCACCCTGCTAATTTAACTTATATACAGAGTACATCATGAGAAACACTGGGCTGGATGAATCACAAGCTGGAATCAAGATTGCTGAGAGAAATATCAGCAAGTTCAGATATGCAGAAGATATCTCTCTAATGGCAGAAAGTGAAGAACTAAAGAGCTTCTTGATGAAAGTAAAAGAGGAGAGTGAAAAAGCAGACTTAAAACCCAACATTTAAAAATCTAAGATTATGGTGTCTGGTCATATCACTTCATAGCAAATTGATGGGGAAAAAGTGGAAGCAGTGGCTGATTTTATTATCTTGGACTCCAAAATCACTGCGAATGGTGACTGCAGGCACAAAATTAAAAGATGCTTTCTCCTTGGAAGGAAAGTTATGACAGACCTAGATAGCATGTTAAAAAGCAGAGATATTACTTTGCTAACAAAGGCCCATCTAGTCAAGGCTATGATCTTCCCAGTAGTTGTGGATGTGAGAGTTGGATCATAAAGAAGGCTGAGTGCTGAAGAATTGATGGTTTCAAATTGTGATGCTGGAGTCGACTCTTGAGAGTCCCTTGGACTGCAAGGAGATCATACCAGCCGATCTTAAAGGAAATCAACCCTGAATATTCATTGGAAGATTGATGCTGAAGCTGAAGCTCCAATACTTTGACCACCAGTGCAAAGAGGTGACTCACTAGAAAAGACTCTGATGCTGGGAAAGATGGAAAGAAAAAGGAGAAGGGGGCGGCAGAGGAGATATTTTGATAGCATCACCGACTCAATGGACATGAATTTAAGCAAACTCTGGAAGATAGTGGAGGACAGCAGAGCCTGCTATGCTGCAGTCCATGGGGTTGCAAAGAATCAGACAGGACTCAGTGGCTAAACAACAACAACAACAAATCATCCATATCGGTGGACTTAGAAGATTTTAATAAACCGAAACCCTTGAAACCAGTAGCTTGGAAATGATGCATAAATATCTTCATTTTTATTCATCTGTATTTTAGCTTTGTTTTCATAAAACATTCAAAAGTTAGGTTACCATTTCCCTCCTCGGGTTAATATGAGGACTGACTCAAACGGCATTTGTGAAACTGCTCTGTGCTCAGTAGACATCCGGTAAGCATCCATTCCTACTATATTTGATACCATACCCCCAAATGCCTTACAGATAAAATTTCTGTAAAAGCTGTATCATATCTATTTGTTTTATTGTGGCAAAAAGCACATAGCATAGATGTACCCTCTTACATTGTTAACTGTGCAGTCTAGTGTTCCTAACTGTAAGCTAGGGTTGTGCAGCAGATCTCTGAAACTTCCCTTTCCAGTTACTTTCCTTACCCCCTGAGACATGTGTCTCTAGTTTATTTTTGTGGGATAAGTTGGAAAGCATTATTGCCCCCATTTTTTGGCCAGTATATTTAATGTAATTGACCTACGAGGGCACCAAAGGGAAGGAACAGGCCAGACTTTCCAACGCCTACATGAAGTATGTGTGTGCATTTTTCTCTGTAGACTTTTCCCCACCGACCTGTTTGAGACCTTCATTGATATAGGACATTATGTTCGTGATATCAGTGCTTACGAAGAATTAGTATCAAAGTTGAATTTATTAGTGGTAAGTCTTGACTTTTAACTAATTTGGCAGGCTGCCATGCAGTTAGGATGTGTTTATCATAGTGACCTGTTTCCTTTTCATTTTTTGTTTAGGAGGATGATCTGAAGCAAATTGCTGAAAATGTTGAAAGCATTAATCAGAATAAAGCTCCTTCAAAATATATAGGCAACTATGCGATTTTGGATCATCTCGGCAGTGGAGCTTTTGGCTGTGTTTACAAGGTGACCTGGCCCTCAAACAATGTTTCTGATGTTCCCAAACAAGTTGCATGTCTCCCTGCACACCCACACACATGTGCATTGGAGTGCTTGTTGGCGAGCAGGTAGAAATAAAAAGTAGAATGATTTGTTTTTGTTCAACAGATGGCCACACTGATATCTCACTCTCAGCTCTGGAAACTGGCCACTGATCTTTGAAGACAAAAAGTGTCATTGATCTCTCATGCAAATAGTCAAAATGGCTTGTCCTAATGCATGACACCTTCTCCAAATTCACACCGTTGTTTCTGTCCTTACCCAGTAAAAGCCTGCTAAAAATGACAACCTGATCCAGGAGATATTGATAACAATTTTTTTGAGCTGAGCTTAGTGTAAATTCAAATTGAATTTTTAAAGTTATATAACTAATTGAGATGACTTGGCTTAATCAATGTGACCTTTTTAATCTGTAGTAATCACTGTCTTCCTCTCTACTATTCTCTCTCTCTCTCTCTGTCTCATTTATCTTAGGTTAGGAAGCGCAGTGGTCAAAATCTTTTAGCAATGAAAGAGGTCAACTTACATAACCCAGCATTTGGAAAAGATAAAAAAGACCGAGACAGCAGTGTAAGGAATATTGTTTCTGAATTAACCATAATTAAAGAACAGGTAATGGTTTTGCTTACAAAGATGTTTTCCTTAAATAAATGTCATCCAAAAAGTAGAGTTCATGTGCTGTTCCTGTCTACACTGTGTAGGAACTAGTTCTGTTTAAAATAATTGGCACTGAGGTGACATCAATCAGGAGAACTAAGGCTAGACATTGAACCACAGACAGTATATGGGATTATAACTACATCAGGGCCAGGAATTCAGAACAATTGAGTTCACAGCCCAGAGTGCATAATATATGAGAAAGCGTATCTGCTTCCTTCTTACTATGTTGAAGTATATTTGGTTACTTCATTATGTGCATAAGAGTATGACTAAGACTTCCCAGATTTTTGTCAAATGGAACCAAGTTGCCGACATTCCTCAAATATGGATTATTTAATCTAAACTGTGGATTTTCAAGTTGGGTTATTATCTATTGGCTTGAGCAGAATATTTGAACATAGTGTTAACAACTCAATTAAGTATCATGAAGGTGTGTTCAGGAGAAAGAACAAACATGTCAGAGAGAAATGGGATTTCTTGTTTTCATCAGTGAACACACTGGCTTCTTTTTCAGCTTTCTTTGTTTATATGTTCATTGTGAATGCTGTTTGTTTGTGACTCCAGGGGAGACCTATCTCCATGACTGTTTGTTGTTGTTCAGTCCCTGTCCTTCACTATCTCTCCTGGAGTTTACTCAAATTCATGTCCATTGAGGCAGTGATGCTATCTAAATGTCTCATCCTCCATAGCCCCCTTCTCCTCCCACCCTCAATCTTTCCCAGCATCAGGGTCTTTTCCAATGAGTAAACTCTTTGCATCAGGTGGCCAAAGTGTTGGAGCTTCAGCTTCAGTATCAGTCCTTCCAATGAATACTCAGAGTTGATTTCCTTTAGGATTGACTGGTTTGATCTTGAATCCAAATCTGAATACAGTCTGGCCAGTAAGCTAGGTCAAGAACATGGCTCTTTTGCTTCCCTAGTCACATGTGACTTGAACTTGAAATCTGCTGGCCACTTGGTAATTGATGAGGTAAACTAGTGGTTTTAGAATATCTTCTAAGAAGAGAAGTTGTAAGGGTGGGGCCGCAGGAGGCCTCTGCTTGAACTTCGAGAGAGCTCAAGGCTGTAGGACTGTGATGTCACCATGGGCTTAAACTAAGGAGAGGACAGCAAACTGAGGTCAAAAAGGAGGCGGTGATGGCAGACAGGAGTGGGAGAAGTGGGACTAGAATGGGAGAGTGTATTTGTTAATGTTAATACTGAGTTGCAGTAACAAAGATGGCCCAAAGTATTGATACATGGGCTTGAAGGCGAGGCCTCTCCGTGTGGGGGCTTCATCTTCCTGCCAGTCCAGGTGCATTGCTCTGCTCCACGCGGTCATGCAGGGACCTGCTCCTCCTCTCCCATTGCAGCCACCAAGGTGATGCACCCTGTATTTCGGGTTCAGACAGTGGGCTCCCCTCATTCTCCACTGGGGAGAGCTGAGTGATAAGCTCCCTCAGGGCTGCAGGAGAGGCTGAGAGACATGACCTGTGGTGGGAAGTGCATCCTGCTACCACCTGATGGGATGGAGCAGCGTAAGGGCAGGTTTCAGTGGACAGCCAGAGGACTCTCCTGTGAAATGGCAAGAAGAAAGGCTAGAGAGAGATACAAGACATCTACGATGTACCAGTGACTGTTCTGAGATGAAACAAACTCCAGTTTACTTAGAAACTCAAATTGTAAATAAACAACCACAAGAACTTAGTATTCTTTTGGAAAATTATCCCTTATTAAAAAAGTAGAATTTCCATGTTACATTCAAGTCTGCAATGTAGGAGACTTGGGTTCAATCCCTGGGTTGGGAGAATCCCTTGGAGAAGGAAGTGGCAACCCACTCCAGTATTCTTGCCTGGAGAATCCCATGGACAGAGGAGCCTGGTGGGCTACAGTTCATGGGGTCACAAGAATCATACTTGACTTAGCGACTAAACCACCACCCATTCTAAGGTAAACTATGCCAAAGAGAAATTTTACTGGATGCTTTTAGGAGTGCATGTGTGCTCAGCCATGTCTGACTGTTTGGGACCCTATGGATTGTAGCCTGCCAGGCTTCTCTGTCCGTGGGATTCTCCAGGCAAGAATACTGGAGTGGGTTGCCATGCCCACCTCCAGGGACCCCTTTTGTTGAGGTATAAATGATATGACAGCAAATTAGTTTCAGGTGAGCAATATGATGGTTCAATATTTGTATATATTATGATGTAATCACCACACCAAGTTCATTTACATCCACCACATGTAGCTACATGTTGCCTTTATGATAAGAACTTTTCCCCCCAAACCTATTTATTTTTCATTGGAGGGAAATTGCTTCACAATATTGTGTTGGCCCCTGCCATATGTCAGCTTGAGTCAGCCATAGGTATACATGTGTTTCCTCCCTCTTTAACCTCCCTCCCACTTCCTACCCTTCCACTTGTCTAAGTTGTTGAAGTGTTAGTTGCTCAGTCATGCCCGACTCTTTGAGACCCCATGGACTGCAGCCCACCAGCCTCCTCTGTCCATGGGATTTTCCAGGCAAGAATACTGGAGTGGGTAGCCATTTCCTTCTCCAGGGGATCTTCCCGACCCAGGGATCAAACCCGGGTCTCCTGCACTGCAGGCAGATTCTTTATCTACTGAGCTATGAGGGCAGAGCCCCAGTTTGAGTTTCCTGAGTCATACAGCAAATTCCCACCAGTTTCCAACTTGAATCTAGGAAGACGGTACTGATGAACCTATTTACAGGACAACAGTGGACACGTGGACATAGAGAACAGACTTAATGGACACAGGCAGTGGGGAGGACACGGTGGGGGTGGGACAAATGGAGAGTGTAATGCAATAAGAACTTTTAAACCACAAGGAAAACTTTATTCAGGACCACTGCAATAGAAGTCAAACTATTGCAAGAAAGGAGAGAGATTGAACTCAGCTCTCAACAGAAGAGGCATGACTGGGGACTTACAACTTAAAGTCAGGGCTGGGGGTGTCAAAGAATGGAAAATTGGCTAGTTATCAGGTTGGGGGAAGAAAAACTTGATTAGATCGCAAAGATAGGGGGTAAGGAACTTGACTGGATATCAAGAGTGTGAGATTCCCACTAAACTAACTGAGCAGGATTCTCGCCAAAACCAAGCAGGCCAAGGAGAGGAGGCCTAGTCCAGAGGAGCACCTAGAGGAGCCTGCCCTAAGTTTGTTCAAGGAGGGAGACATGGGAAATTATTAGTATAATTTTAATGGGATTAATAGCTCATGTTATTTTGATGTGAAAATATTAGTCGCTCAGTCATGTCAGCCCTTTGCAGCCCCATGGACTGTAGCCTGCCAGGCTTCTCTGTCCATGGGATTCTCCAGACAAGAATACTGGAGTGGGTTGTCATTCCCATCTCCAGGAAATCTTTCCAACCCAGGGATTGAACCCGGGTCTCCTGCATTGTGGGTGGATTCTTTACCATTAGTTTCACACTAATTTTGGAGAGCATAGAAAGACATGAGTCATGAAAATAGACACAGTTTATATAAACATTTAAGTGGCAGGGAGAGGTTAAGAGCATAGGTATATGTGTTCAAAGTTAATTATTTCATTTCAGTTTTCTCCTCTATGCAATCTGTTTGTGGTATTGGAGCAGGGTGTGTTAAATGAATTCTTAAGATAGCTTCCAGTTCTATAATCCTCCATTTTAGTTAAATTAAGTGAGAAAGCACAACTAGTTTTTATTGCTATTTTATAAGGCTATATAGGAGATTGCTGTTTTCAGAATAGTTATGTAAGCAGCAAATAAAAAAGAATCATGAAAAATCAGATGATATTTTGAAATGCTTTGTTGTATATATAAATGTAAACAGGATAATTTCTTTGTTGTTTTCAAATATGAAGTCCAACTAAATTGTGAATACAAGTTTATATTTTGAAGTAGGTGTAATGTTTGTTATTTATTTTCTTATAGCTTTATCATCCAAATGTTGTACGCTATTATAAAACATTTCTGGAAAGTAAGTATGAGTTTTTGTGATATTTCTAATAAAGTATCTATGTTACTTACATATTTTTTAAAGAATGTTACAAAAGAAGCTTAATCAACTCTTTTCTTTACCTTTTTTTGTTATATGTATGATAATTGATATTTTTCATCACTTTCTTGGGCAGTGAAACACTGATAGTCAAAGATCAAAAGATACTTATAAAATAATTAGATCTCTCAATATAAGATTTCATGAACAAACCAAAATAATAATTATTGCTATTTTCATATACAAAAAGCCCTTAGTAGGATCAGGAGAAAATAAAACTAAAGGGTGGTGGCTTCTTTAAGAAAAAATAAAAAAGTTTTTTTAAAAATTAAATCAGATGATTTTTTTCTTTTTTAAAATTATTTTTAAATTCATTTATTTATTTATTTTACTTTACAATATTGCAGTGGTTTTTGCCATACGTTAACATGAATCCACCATGTGTGTACATGTGTTCCCCATCCTGAAAGCGCCCCCCCGCCCCACCTCCCTCCCCATCCCATCCCTCTGGGTCATCCCAGTGCACCAGCCCCGAGCACCCTGCATCATGCATTGAACCTGGACTGGTGATTCGTTTCACATATGATAATCTACATGTTTCAATGCCGTTTTCCCATATCATCCCGTACTTCTAAATCAGATGATTTTTTCCACCGTCTTCCCCTCAAACAAATTGGGCTAGGTTTTTGAGGTTTCTTTCTCTTGAAGTTCAGGTAATTGCCACAAGGTGGCGATGGAACCCTGACTCTGCATCATCTTTAGGATGATGGAATACAGAATCAAACGTTGAGATAAAATCGAACTCAGACTTGTTTTGAAAAGCAATAGAACTTTTGACTGAAGCAATATACATTTTAATAGACCTGATGTGCTTCGCTTGTGAAATTTCGCAGTAAGTCTCCACATGGAGGGGCTTCCTTGCTGCCTCTCTGTCAGTGCTTGCGCTCAGGTCCTCAGCTGTGTCTGACTCTTTGCCATCCCGTGGACTATAGCCCTCCAGGCTCCTCTGTTCATGGGATTCCCCCAGCAAGAAAACCGGAATGCCATTTCTTCCTGCAAGGGATCCTCCCTACCCAGGGATTGAACCCATGTCTCTTATGTTTCCTGCGTTAGCTGGCAGATTCTTTACCACTAGCTCCACCTGGGAAGCCCCTATCAGTAATAGTGCTGTACAAACCTGGCAGTGTCAACGAGCTTTCCCACCCTCTGGTTGACTCAGAGGAACTCAGTGGTGAAATCTTCAGCAAATCCAGCTCCCTTGGCCATTTGTTCTTGATATTAGAATAATTTCCCATAATTTAGCACACATCCCATCATAAAGAGGTCTAGATTGGTTTATGACTTATGCTGAAGTGATACCACTCATCTTAATTTGAAAACAATATAACGTGATTTCTTCAGAAAAGAAAGTGATTTTACAAATACATAAAATATGTTGAAATGGATTAGGAAATCATGATAAAAGGAAATAGAAGGTGAGAAAATTTAAAATAAAGCTAAAGTTAGTTGTTGTTGTTTAGTCACTCAGTTGTGTCTGACTCTGTGACCCCGCGGACAGGCTCCTCTGTCCATGGGATTTCCCAGGTAAGAATATGAAGTGGTTGCCATTTCCTACTCCTGGGGATCTTCCTAACCCAGGGATTGAACCTGTGTCTCCTGCATTGGCAGACAAATTCTTTACCGCTGAGCTACCTGGGAAGCCCATACATATTTTACATACATCCAAAACATTACAGAAGATACATATCACATACTGTTATTAATAGTTTCATATTAGTTTTGGAGGAGAAAGTAGAATTTACTTCTGTTTCTTAACATCCAAAGAAAAGAGGCAAAGCCAGTCGGTCATGAGATTCCTGGGACCCATCCGCTGCAATCTGGAGAAGGCCAGCTTTCTCAGTCCTTGTCAGGAGCTGAGATTTTCCATTATGGGTGGTGTATCCAATGTGCTTTTTTCTAAACCATGATGTGATTTCACTGTAAAACACTGTAAGGTAAATGTATGAGACTGAAGAACAATACATTGAAAACATTTTTCTGGACGTCTAGTTTGATTTAAGTGTAAATTTTAGAGCACTGAGTGGAGAGATGGGTTTACCTGTTCTTCAGGGAATTCTCTGTGACGGGAGCGTTTGCTTCTCTTTGGTGATTCTCAGCCCTTCCACGTCCTGGTGTACACAGAAAATGATAACATTTGCCAGCGCAAACTTATGCTAGGGGATTGCCTGTAGTTGAAAGAGATCCATCCAGTGGCCCCCAAGGCCCCCTGGCCCCTGATCCTTCCAGCTGAGTGAAACCACATTCCTAACTCTTCTGTGATGTGTGTGCCCTGAACACCCATTGGGAAGTTTGGATTCTAATTTGTAAGTTCTTTCAAAATGTCTATATTGAGTTTAATTTTCTATTACCTTTTCTTTTTTTATATATAGATGATAGGCTGTATATAGTTATGGAACTTATAGAAGGGGCCCCTCTTGGAGAGCATTTCAGTTCTTTGAAGGAAAAACGACATCATTTTGCTGAAGAGAGACTATGGAAAATATTTATACAGGTATCGTTCATCGTCATTAACTTTTCCTATGAAACAGTAAAGGTCTCAGCTGATTCCCCAGAGGTGTGTGTGGTGGGTGTGAGAGGCTGTCTGTCCATATATATCAAGGAAATAACCTTTGTTTGTTGTTTGCTGTTTGCAGCTGTGCCTGGCTCTTCGGTACCTGCACAAGGAGAAGAGGATCATCCATAGAGACCTGACGCCAAACAACATCATGCTGGGGGACAAGGACAGAGTGACTGTCAGTAAGTATAAAACTGGAAAGCTTCAGCTGAGAGTCTCTGGATATTATTCTAGGGCAGAGTTGTTGGACAGAACTTCCCACATTGATAGGTGCGTTATCCATCTGTGTTGTCCAGTCCAGCAGCCACTGGCCACGTGTGGCTGTTGGGCACTTGAAATGTCACAGTAGTGACTGAGGGTATGAATTTTAAATTCTACTAACTTTTAGTTAATTTAAATATCCCTATGTGGACTAGTGCATACTATAGTGGACAGTAACTAGTGAACTTCTTGATGTTCTTGAAGTTCTCAGTATGAGAGAATAAAATACTCTTAGAATGCTGGAGACTTTAATTCCTAAATCAATGGTTTCTAGGGTTTTTTCTTTCTGTAGAACACTTCTTCATCAACAAGGGCTTTTATGACTACCACATGAACACACTGTTGTACTGTTTTGATATAGTCTGTGACATGGATGACCAATATACATATCAAGGACTGTAAAAAATCTAGCCATTTGTATACTTCAACATGTTTACTTTATATCACAGTATCTTCAATTGTAGCAGGTTATCTGAATGTTATATAAATTTTTGCAGTGAGAAAGTTAGTTTTTTTCCCCATAGTTGTGTATTTCTCAATCATAAAATGAGCTTTTTAGCTTAGAATGATATATTAGCCTTCCCCTGTCCTCTTCACTCATGAACATTAGCTACTCTAGTGGTTCGCCTGCTACAAGTAGGGAGAAATAACTAAATCAGTGTTCTGCAAGCATTTGTGATAGTGACCTTCCATTAGTAAATTCTTTTGATAACACACTGCCAATATATGTATTATTGTTGTTGTTGTTGTTCAGTAACTATCATGTCTGACTTTTTGCGACCCCATGGACTGTAGCACATCAGGTTCCTCTGTCCTCCACTATCTCCCAGAGGTTACTCAAATTCATGTCCATTGAGTCGGTGATGGTATTAATATATGACCATCACTAGTAATTTCCCTCCACTCTTCCCCAGTAGTGTATTGGATACCTTCTGACCTGGGGGTCTCATCTTCCAGCATCATATCTTTTTGCCTTTTCATACTGTCCATCCAGAGTGGGTTGCCATTTCCTTCTCCAGTGGACAGCATTTTGTTTGTCCACACTCTTCAGTGTGACCCATCCATCTTGGTGACTCCTAGCCTTCTACCTTCATTCAGTTATGCCAGCACCTTTGCCATGACAAGGCTGTGATCCATGAAGGGGCAATATATGTATGCTTATTTATAAATGCTATACACATATCACTGTATAATTATTCTATAGTACATGAAGTCAACAGAAATTACATGCAGAGGGGTGCATTAAAATTTAAGATAGAGATTTTGATATTTCCGCCCCCCCCACCGCCTAGTGGATTGCCTTAGGCACCCAACGTAGGAGATCCTCTCCTAAATTTTACTGATGTGAAAGACATTTGTGCATGCCTGCATGCACGTGTGCTAAGTTGTTTCAGTTGTGTCCAACTCTTTGCAACCTTTGGATTGAGCCTGCCAAGCTCCTCTGTCCATGGGATTCTCCAGGCAAGAACACTGGAGTGGGTTGCCATGCCCTCCTTCAGGGGATTTTCCTGACCCAGGAATTGAACCTGTGTCTCCTACATTGGCAGGAGGGTTCTAAACCTGAAAGAGATTTGACAACGTTTTAAAGCCGAGTCTCTTAGTTTGGGAAGAATCTGATTCCTCATGAAGGCAACTTCAAATGTAGGCTTTTACCATAACCACATCCTCAGTAACAATGATTAGATTCACTGTCCAGATTTTTTTTTTTTGATAGAGCATGCTATATTAGTTTAAAAAAATACCCAAACAGAAGCTCTATCAAAATCTTCAGTGCAAAGTTACTTGGTAATATTTCAAGACAGTGCTTTGTGATATATGTGATGAGGTCAAATAATTGTGACTCTGTCTTGGATACACATTTAATCATTAGAAGTTAATTAGAATTTTGTTTATCATAACCTTTTTTACTTTTTTTTTATGAATTGTACTTGTGTTTCCTTAAGAATTTTTTTTAGATCTTCCTTGGTGACTCAGACAGTAAGGCATCTGCCTACGATGCGGGACACCCAGGTTCAATCCCTGGGTTGGGAAGATCTCCTGGAGAAGGAAATGGCAACCCGCTCCAGTATTCTTGCCTGGAAAATCCCATGGATGGAGGAGCCTGGTAGGCTACGGTCCATGGGGTTGCAAAGAGTTGCATACGACTGAGCCACTTCACTTCTTCTTTAAGAATTTTTCCTATTTAAAGTTTGTATGCTTGTAGATATTTTAATTTATAAATTAATAAGGATTATTATAAATTGTGTGTTTGAATTTCATCACAAATAGTCTGTATATATTTTAAATACTATTAAACAGATGTTTAATGGTTTAATAGATCTATTTAATTTTCCTAAAGGTGATTTTTCAGACCATATTTTCTGAGTCTAGCCAACGCTATGTCCCATTTTCTTACATTTAAATACATTGAGGTTCATCTTTTATTGTAGTAGTCTGATTTATTTTCTGTCTAAACTTATTTCAAGTAATTCTTATATTTACATTCTTTAACCAGTACCACACATCAAAATGGTTTACAAAATAAGATAGTGCTAAAAATCTTATAAAGAAAAACCTATCCCTTTGCAACCCTCAGTTCCAGTTCCTTAAAATAACCACTTCTCATTCTTTTTTGGCTCTATTTTCTGGTATTTGGGTTTCCTTTGGCTTCCCTGGTGGCTCAGTCAATAATCTGCCTGCAGTGTGGGAGACCTGGGTTGGATCCCTGGGTTGGGAAGATTCCCTGGAGGGAGGGCATGGCAACCCATTCCAGTATTCTTGGACTTCCTGGTGGCTCAGACAGTAAGAAATCCACCTGTAATATGGGAGATGTGGGTTTGATTCCTGGGTCGGGAAGATCCCCTGGAGAAGAAGACGGCTACTCACTCCAGTATTCTTGCCTGGAAAAGCCTATGGGCAGAGGAACCTGGTGGGCTACAGTCCATGGGGTACAAAGAGTCAGACAAGCTGAGTGACTGTCACTGTGATAGCTGAGGATTCAATTTTCTTGTTTTCTCTTTCCCCACCTGCCATCCTGCAATATATTTATAGCACAGTGTTAAAGTGAAAGTTGCTCAGTCGTGTCTGACCCTTTGTGACCCTATAGACTGTAGCCCACCAGGCTCCTCTGTCCATGGAATTCTCCAAGCAAGAATACTGGAGTGGGTTGCCATTCCCTTCTCCAATTTATGGAACAACCGGGGGTTAAATCAGTATTCAGTATTTACATTATTACTACTGTGTAACTATTGTTCAATGTTGATTACTTCTCCTTCCTTATAGGCCTTTTGTTTTTCTTAGAGTTAATAATTGCCTTCTTTTTTTAAAAAAATTTTCCTAGTTTTCTGTGTACTTTTATTTCTTCTTCCCAGATCTTCTAAAAGGAATATAAAAGTCCTCTTTGTCTATTTTCCACATGGTCAGATGAGACAGTTACTCTTTTTTTTTTCTTGGATACTCATTTTCTGTAGTTGTCTGTTGTAAGATAGACTGAGTTTGACTTTAGGTCTGTTATACAGCTATTGTCCTGGAACTTTCATGCTCTTCTTTTTTTTTTTAATTTGGCTACACTGTACAGCTTGTGAGATCTGTTCCTGATCAGGGATTGAATCTGGGCCACTGCAGTGAAAGCACTGAACCCTAATCACTAGACCACCAGGGGACTCCCTCCTCCTTTTCTGGTTGGAGCCTCTATTTCCTACATCCTCTGGACTTCTCTTTCTTTTATAACTCCCCTATTTTGCCAAAGTGTATCTTTTAGTACTTTACTAAGAAAGAGTGCTTTGGAAATTACCATTTTTATTTTTTTTAATTTCTAATTAAAAACTTTTGGAGATAAAAGTGGCATATACATTCTTTTAGTGTCAGGTGAACAACATAATGATTTGATATTTGTATACATTATAAAATGATCATCACAGTAAGCCAAATTAATATCCATCATGTTACATAGTTAATTTTTTTTCTTGTGTTGAGAACCTTTTAAGATCTACTCTCTTACCAACTTTCAAATATGCAATACAGTATTATTAACTATAGTCACCATGCTGTATATGACATCCCCAAGACTTATTTATGTTAGAACTGGAAGTTTGTATTTTGACCCCCTTCACCCACTTCTCCCACTCCCTATCCTCTGCCTTTGGCAGCCACTAGTCTGTTCTCTGTATCTATGAGGTTGATTTGTTTTTGTTTTTTACAGTCCACATGTGAGATGATGCAGTATGTCTTTCTCTGTCTGACTTATTTCACGTAGTATAATGCCCTCAAGGTCCATCCATGTTATTGAAAATGGCAAGATTTCAGTCTTTTTTTTATGACTGAACTGTATGTGTATGTGTGTATGTGTGTGTGTGTATATATATGAATGAAGTGTATATATATACTTACGAGGGCTTCCCAGGTGGCGCTAGTGGTAAAGAACCCATTTGCCAATGCAGGAAACATGAAAGACTTGGGTTTGATCCCTGGGTCAGGGAGATCCCCTGGAGGAGGGCATGGCAACCTGCTTCAGTATTCTTGCCTGGGGAATCCCGTGGACAGGGGAGCCTAGTGGGTTACATTCCACAGGATCGTAAAGAGACACAACTGAAGCGACTGAGCATGCACATGCATGTACTTATGAATAAATATATGTATACTTGGATACACATACACACACATACACTAGGTTGATCACCAATCTAGTGTCGGGGGAAATATCAATAACCTCAGATATGCAGATGACACCACCCTTATGGCAGAAAGTGAAGAAGAACTAAAGAGCCTCTTGATGAAAGTAGGACTGAAGTTGAAGCTGAAACTCCAATACTTTGGCCACCTGATATGAAGAGCTGAATCATTTGAAAAGACCCTGATGCTGGGAAAGATTGAGGACAGGATGAGAAGGGGATGACAGAGGATGAGTTGGTTGGATGGTATCACCAACTCAATGGACATGAGT